TTTTTTTTTTTTTTTTTTTTTTTTTTTTTTTTTTTTTTTTTTTAGGTATATTATTGTATTTTTTTTGTTTTTCCTTTTGTTTAACCTGAATATGTAATTTATTTCTTTAGTCGTGTGCTGGCAAAAAGTACCTTGCTGGCTAAAGGTATTTTTTTACAGTCGTAACCTGACTGAATGCTAAAGGAAACACGAAACATTAAAATTTAATGTAGGCACTATTCTTAGTATTAAAATACTTGCTTCTTGTAGTTGACCTTACCCATGTGATATGCAAAAATAAATAATTTGAATTCGATAAACGCATTACTACGGCATTTGAATTAGAACCTTGTTTCTCATTTTCAAATGGTTTTTCCGTAGTTTTAACTTTTTATGATATTGATTAGGTATACGCATAATAAAACTAAAAACATTTACAATAGTAATTTATTTTAGATAAATCATTCGGCCGGAAGACGTAGTGTGGGCATTAGTGGGCAGACCTCCCACTAGGTTGACCGACGATCTGGTGAGGGTCGCGGGAAGAGCCTGGATGAAGGCAGCGCAGGACCAGTCATTATGGAAATCCTTGTGGGAGGCCTTTGTCTAGCAGTGGCGTCATTTGGCTGAAACGAAATCATTGTATTAGCATCTTAAACAAAGTATTTATCAATAGTGGTAAAAAAAACATTCGTGTAATTAAATTGCACGTGTTAATGCATATTCAAACTAAAGTATTCACAGTCATTAGAGGAGTTGCATAAATTATCACATAGATCAGTTTCAAGTTTGAGTATAAATAGTCAGTGCCATTTTTCAGTCATTCAGTTGTCTATGGTGTACCGATGGAATACAACATCGGACAAGAGACACAGAACTTCTCCACTTCGAAGACAAGACCGATTTGTTTCTGTCTACTCGTTGACTGACGTAAATTATTGTACACCAAATCTAGCTATAATCGCTAGAAAGAAGATAATTTTTGAGACCTTGTACAACACTAAAATAAAATCAAAATGTCCAGGGAACGTGACATATTATCTGTTGAAGAATTAAACCTAACCGCACGACACAGCATCAAGAATATAATTGAAAAGGAAGAATTTACTTCATACAGCGTGGATGTCAGAGATCCAACTTCTAGCAAAGGAAATTTATTTGGATTTTTGCAAACGGTCATAATTACGGGAAAAACCAAGGACAACAATAAAAAGGAACTGATGCTATTCCTTAAAAACTTTATACCCGAACAAAAACAGTATTCAGCTCTCGATGTTCCGGAGGCATACCAGAGAGAAGCATTTATGTATAAAGAGTTGTTTAAACTTTTTGAGACAATTGAAGATAAATACGAAATTCCACAAGAAGAGAAACTGAATACTGTTAAGGGATATAGCGAAACGAACGATGAAGTTATAATTTTAGAAGACGTTTCTTTTAAGGATTACAAAACATATGACGGATCCGACGTAATGCCCTTAAAATATGCAGAATTGTCAATTGAACAACTTGCCAAACTACATGCAGTGGCATTTATTATCCAGAAGGAATATCCAACTTATTTTGAAGAAAAGATTAAAACCTTAAATGCGTCGTACATATTTGGTCTTAACCTTGAAATATATTTTAAAAATTGCTGTGACATTGCAAAAGAAGCTTTAGACGAAGATGCAAAATCTAAACTGGAACAGTTTTTCCCAAAACTGATTAAAGTTTACTCTAAATATAAATATGCCACATTAGGTGAAGCTTTTTGTATTGTACATTCAGATTACCGGATAAACAATATAATGGTTAAAGAATTTGTAAGTATAGTCAATAATATTTCATTAGGTACACATTCTCGTAGCTGAAACTATTAATCATAAAAAAATACGTTAAACTACTGCTATATTTAAAATTGTCGAAGTTATGAAACTTATTGACAGTATAGGTATTATTTCTTTCAGGACGGACAAGCCTCTAAAGTGATCCCCATCGATTACCAATTGACACACTTTGGCCATCCTATCACGGACTTATTGCACTTCATTTTCTTAGGAAGTGACCAGGATTTCAGAAAAAATCACATGAATCACTTAAAAGAATTATATTACAGCAGTTTCGAGAAGTTTTTGAAGAGATTCGATATTGTGGCTGAAAATGTCTATTCCAAAAAGAAATTCGAGCAGGATTTCAGTGAAAACATGGACTATGGATTGATGTGTTTCTTGTTTTACTTGCCGTATACTTTTGGAAAGAGAGGTGAAGCCCCAATTTTGGTGAAAGGGCTCGAGGACATTCCGATTGACTTGGATGACAGTTACAAGGACAGATTTCGTGGAATTGTTGATGACCTTATACAGTGGGAATACTTGTAAATTTTGTGCATATTGAAGCAATATTAATTTTTAATTAAAAACTTAGCTTTTCCAGACTTCGCCCCGCGTAAAATTCTAATGAATTTAAAGCTTGTGTACAGATAACCGCACAGCAAGGATAATAAAAACTTTACAATATCATGCGTTTTAATTAAGTGGTAATTTTTTATCCCACAACACAGGGAATCCTAGTGTGGGAACCAATGTCTTACTTTACTGCTAACATGGAAACTTTTGAAATAAATAAATTTATTATTTATTTATTTACAATCTCATCTGGTATGGTATATCATAATCTGGTGTTACTATTATGGATCCTATAGTACAACACCTTCAAACACAATCCGTTCAGTAGCTTTTCCTTGAAGGGGTAACAATTAAGCGCTTCTGAATTTGTAAAAATAAAGTGTATTAAATAAGTACAGTCTCTGTTTATTTGATACGGTTTACTGACATTAGACCTACTACTTATCATGAAAATCATTGTTGTGTAGGTGACGGTGTTCGTTCGTTCGTTCGTTTCAGCCAAATGACGTCCAGCAGTGTGTAGGTGTAATTGATGCTAAATTGCTGTTGTAAGGTACTGATTATAATAATATCTAGAACTTCGCCTGCGTGAATTTCTGGTCTGTCACAGAAATACTCATCCTCAGTTGTTCATAAGGTTATAATCATCACTACCATCATCATCATTTCAACCAAAGGACGTCCACTGTTGAGCATAGTCCTCCTCCAATGATTTCCACATCACCCGGCCGGTCGCGGTCTGCATCCAGCGCCTTTCTGCTACCTTTATGAGGTCGTCGGGTCAAGGTATTAATATTAGTAGGATTTCATGTTATGTAAAGTTAAAATATTTAGGTGCTTTGTTTGGCTTGTGAGCTACACTTTATAAAATTTTCCAAAACAAATGCCAGAAGAAACTAAACGCTCTCCGCGTGTCGATCGGCCAATTTTAAAATTCGCTTACGTTGTTACGTTGCTTGCTAAAAAGGCACAGAAGAACTTCGCAACATAGTGATGTGACGTCTATTTACTTTTTGCTATCGATACATTAATTACGTTGAAAAATACGGGACTTATCCTACACTACATTTCCCACCACTGCAACTCTTGTATGGTCAGAATCTACAGCTTGATCTCCAATTAAACCCAACCAGTGATGGTTGAGTAGTCCCAGGGGTTAATTTATGATAATTAGGTTAGTCAATAGGATTTTTTCACCCACAAGATGGACCGACGACCTTATAGAGGTAGCTAGAAGGCGCTGGATGTAGGCTAAAAAATGATGATGAATGATGATTACAGTTTTATCAATAAATAATATCTAAATATCTAAGTGTAATGTTTAAAAAAAATTCTTGAGACTTATTTTTACACACGCTAACGAAAGTAGAAATCGCATTTAGCACAAACAAAATGATAAAGCTTCTTCATCATGATAATTCAATATGAGGAAACAACAAAGGCGTAGTTTAATATGAACTCTTCTCTTCGACAAACTAAACACTTTGGCATCTTGTAAGGGCGATTTCAATGGCAATAAAATGTTAATTAGATATAAACTATTCACTATGATTTGTGAATGTAATTTTTATATAAATAAAGTTGCCTTCAATTTTCGAGATAGCAAGCGTAAATGTTACACGCCAATAGAATTATGTCGTTATGGTTTTCTGTAAGGGGTATACATACGTATGCCTAGATTTTAACATGTTTTTCATAAAAAAACTATCAAGAAAAATGTGCACGTGTATTTTCAAAAAGAAGCTACGGTTGCAACTTGCATAGTTTTCAAGATATTTAAATTAAATGCCACTGATTCGGATGAAAAATAAGAAAATCGACAAAAATTCACCAAATCAAGTCCTCTTTACAACCAAAAGTTGTCGAAACCCTTAGGCTGGGTTGCACCTTACTTTAAATTTAACAAAAGTCTGTCAAATACCATACAAATACACGTTATAGCTAAAGTTACTGTTTAAGTTAGATGGTGTAACTCAGCTTTAATCTTCTAAAATAACTCATCAGACTCTCTAGAAATAGTTATCTATCGATATATCTTTTTCCCAACCCTCTGGAATAGCTTGCGTGTTTTTTTCCGTCCAACACACGGTTAGTCTCAAAGGACTGAGGCTATTTACAGTAAAGCGGCTAGATTGCTGCTGGAACGGCGCTCCATGATGGAAGCGCCTCAATTGCTATTATACCTACTGAGATAACAAATTCTTTCCTTTTATTGCTGGAGAAAATGACCAGAGATTCACTTTATCTTCATTATAAGTGCTAATTGCCACTTCTATTCATGCCACTCCAAATGTGGAGTTAAATAATGACTCAACTATTTTGTATGTTATCTGTAATAAACTAAGTATAAGAAGCATGTTTTCAAAATAAATAAAAATTGTGTCTGGTTTGCGGTCACACTTAGGTATACCTATCCTAATTTATCGTATCAAATATCCAAACTCACAATCAAAAGAATTACATAGCAATTTTGTATAATGCAGTGTTAGGGATTTATCTTAAAATAAATACTACTAATTAGACCTAAAAAACAAGATAACGAAAGATGCATGTAACATATTTGTTTACTTTGTGTATAATCATTTTATTCCTTTAAATAGAACTTGAAAAAGAATCTTGACACATTACTCAACAGTTTTTAGTAAAGTTTAATTGAACATCTGTAATAATGCAAGAGGTAGAAAAACATAACGATGAGAATCTTAAGAAATCTGACAATGTCTTAGTAAACATAGACAATATTGATACGTTGTAAATGTCCAATTATCTAATAATACTTGTACTACATCCAAAAATATTATTGTTTTTTGTTTTCAGGACGGAAAAATAGCAGATATGGTTCCATTGGACTACCAGATTATAAATCACGGTTCGCCATTGATCGACCTGTTATATTTTTGTTTCGGTGCAACCGACAGGGAATTTCGGAAAAAGTATTTAGAACATTTGAAAGATTTGTACTTCAGTACTATGGAGCAATTTTTGAAATATTTTGAAATGGATATTCAAAAATATTATCCAAGGGAAGAATTTGAAGACCTCTTTAAGAAAAGACTAGATTTCGGCCTGTTTACCTGCGTCTGGTATTTGCAGTTCAATCTAGCTGAAGACGATGAGATAGTGATGTATCAAAGATGCAATTTTCCGAAGTCAGTTTTGGAAATAAGAATAAAAGAGTTCAAGTCAGACTACAAGAAGTGGTTGAAGAATTTATTGAATGGGTACATATAAATATNCTGGTTTACCCTATTTGTTTTCAATTTTTTTTGCGTCTAATAAATTATCTTTGCTGGAAAAGACCACTTACGTCAAATTTCGCCATAACGTTGCTATGTCGGTAGTCGCCATGCACCAAAGTCCATGTATCCGCTGGATCCTGTGTATACTTCGCATATTTATCATAAGAACTTGCCAAAAACTTCTCTAACTTGTCCTTCAACTCTGGCTGCAGACAATTTATACTGATGCGGCTAAAATTCTTCGTAAAATCATTAAAATCTTTCTGGCCATAGAAGAAAGGCTGCTTCATCTTCTTCACTCTCTCTTGAAAGAACTTAGGGCGCTTCTCCTTTAATATAAAAGCAAAGCTATGGTACTTTGCGAGCTGTTGTATTGCCATCTCTGCAAACTTCAGCGGTAGCACTTCCATTCTCGGATACATGGCAAAACCCTGTAATGCCAAATTCTCCATAATTATTATTTGGTCATCGGTACTGTTGTAGCTTTTGGCAATTTTAAATCTTTCTTCTTGAGGTAGAGAATATTCATCTTGTACCTCATAAGCAATGTCACGGAACTCAGTATACATGTACGTTTCGTTTGCATAGGCTCGAGGCATTGAGTATATGTTTACATCGCCATCTTGGATCATTGTTTTCGTAAACAAATTGAGCTCTTTACTAGTGCCATCAGGGGTTTCTCCCTTTATGTTTATTTCTCGAAGTACGCCGAGGTAACTGCCATCTGCTTCGATTTCCCTCATGTCTATGGAATAAGTTGTAAAGTTTTCTTTTTGTATGATGTTTTCTATGGGTTTTTGAAGTTTTGGCGGGAGAACTTGCACGCTCGGCATGTTTATTTATCTGTATAGAATATTATGAGGAAATTAATATTGCGCAATCGGTGAAATATTTTATGTAGATATTATTATAAATACCAATATTAGGTTAATTTTTTATAATTAATTAATAAAAAATTAAGCAGATAACTAAATCTATAAAAATATAATTTCAAAAGTTTATGCAATTGATTTTAATTATAAATTACGAATTGTACAGTCGAAAGCATATCAGATACTAAATCTTCAATGAAAAATAGCATCTATTGCCAACTGCATAAGATGTCGCAATATTTATCTTGATAGATAATGCTGTCGTCTGCACCCAATTTACAAGTAAAAAGTTTACTATGTCACAGTCACTGTCAGTAATTTACTTTTTATAAACATCAACATAACCTCAATTTACAGTAAAATACAAAAATTAAAATACTTACGTTTATACACGATTTTTTCTTTATTTCACTTTCTAATACGTTCCTATCTCACTACGTTTTGGTACACAATAATCTAACAAGATAAGGTAGGTCGTTTTTACACTCGATGTTGCAAGAACGGGTGTGTTCATGGTCGTGGCCACTTTTGATATTTTTGCTACGCTCGCTGCGTCTCTGATTTTTATACATTTATTAGTAGTATTGTAGGTAGCAAAATAAATATGACAGAAATTAAATTAGTAGCAAATCGATAGCTTTTTATTCAAAAGCTACAATACTATCGATAGTATCGATACTATCGACAGTTTATTCNAGTATCGATACTATCGACAATTTATTATTTACGAGCAACAATACCATCGATAGTATCGATGTCGATATTGCACATATTCAATAGTACTGACTCGTTTTGAGCTATCGATAGTATCGATAGTATCGACAGAATCGATAGTCGACTATCGATCGGCAACACTAATATCTATAGAATACGCTGAGAAGCAATCAAACTGTTAGCTAAATTCGACGCTCTAGGCTTTGTAATATTAGAGGCCGGTAGATCTATTCTCATAAATAAAACACTGGATACTCATCTTTCACATTATATTGCCTTATTTTAGATACAATTCATCACTTAGCACAAAAGCGCGCGGAGTCATCTCCGCGCGTCCCTCTATTCTGACGTTTGATGCTAGCGTGTGACATTGACGTATTGTCAATGTCACTATGACAGCATCTCATTGGCCACAACGATACCGTTATTTTAACGTTTTAGATTTTTCATAATTAACAGTAAGAAAAACAGCCTAGATACTACGAAGAAAACATAAAGCCCTTAGGATTCCCGTTGAAATTCGATGATGAATATAATACGTATATGAATAATATGGGTCAATCGGCTCTTGAATATTTGGAGGGCAACAATAGAAGTACCTAGATTGAAAGAATTTATTAAATTTATGTCAGTAAAGGCCCGTGAGTATGTACGGGATCGAAAATCAACATTGTGCTTGAGTCACAGAGACTACAGTGCTACAGGCCTAACAACATTTTAATTAAAATTACTGTAAGTTTATTTTATTAGGATGTTAGGTAAATGGGTATATGAGCCGACACTAGCCCATGTTAACATGGGCATATAAATGGTATGGTGAAGTCAGAAAATTGATATCTTCATTTTAATTATTTTAATTTTCATACAAATCGGATTTTATAAAAAATATTTTGTCATACTCATATACCCATTTACCTAACACCCTGTATAGTTCTTAGTGAATATAAGAATTAAATTAGGAAGTTTTTAAAACCCTTACCATTAATTAAAACTTACATGCCTCTGGAACGCTATCAAAATGACATTTCCATAATAAACATGATTTTAAACATAATGAGAATAATAAGTGACTGGTGGACTATTTAAATAAAATAAAGGATGAATCAATGACAATATAATAACAATAATTGCTTTTTGTTTTCAGGAAGTCAGTTTTAACAAAAAGAATAAAAGAGTACAAGTCAGACTACAAGAATTGGTTGAAGAATTTATTGAATGGGGTTGGGGGTACATATAAATAAAATATAGTATTCTTAGTTTTATTCCATAAACCATATATTTGGAATTTAACAATAATAGTTTTGTAATTATGGATGTCATACAAATAAACTTATTACCTACAACATAAATAATTTATTTATACAATGAGGTAAGATGGTTATTAATTTTGTAATTAATTTATTAGAATTAAATTTTGTATATTACCTATTTATTTTGAAGTCATAAATTTTTTTGTCAACTTAGGTACACTCGAATATTTTCTTACTATGGTACCAACTATTAAGGAGTAATATTAAGTGATATTGCAAAAAATATTAAGGACTGGGGCTTTATAAGTATTTTTTATATTAGGCGGAACACAATAATTTTCATGTTAAGATTAGTAATACGTACATTAACTTAAATTAGATTTGTACTTTTACGAGTATGAAAGATAAAATAAATAGAAAAAAACATGCAATAATAGGTACTTTTTCTACCGTTGCGTTATTTGATGTAGCCCCACTGCACGTAGTCGTCCACAACACCTCTGACCCTCTTCTTGATCAGGTCACTCAGCTGGAAGTCACAGGTGCTCAAATCGATCTTAGTGACGTCAGGAATCTCCCCTGTGTTAGCGAGTATCACTGGCAGCAACCAAAGGGCAACCATCAAGCCATAATCGAGCCTCTCCTTGAAAAGCCTCTCGAATTCTTTTCTAGGATAGTGTTTTTCAATATCAATCCCAAAATAGCTCAAGAACTTCGCCATGGTGTTGTGGTACACATCTTTGAGGTGCTCCAAGTGGTTCCTTCGGAAGTCCTGGTCGGTGCCAGCTATTATGAAGTAGATAAAGTCGATTATCGAGCAGCCGTAGAACGCGTGCTGGTAGTCGAGGAGAATCACTTCATACGCTTCACCATTCTGAAAAAATATATTATTTATTAAGATTACCTACATTTATTTTTCCATTACAAAAAGGGTCTTAATTTATTCAGTCTCCAGACTTGTATCTGCGCTTGAATTTGAATCGACTAATCGAGTACTACATAAAGGTAAGAAGGGATCTATAATACTTAAATTAAAACATTTCGATGCTTAAGTTAGGTGCTATTATTACAATTGTTTAAATTATCACAGACTTGATTAATATAATTAGGGTAAACCGTATAGCTATTGCCCACTTANCTTACGTCAAATTTCGCCATAACGTTGCTATGTCGGTAGTCGCCATGCACCAAAGTCCATGTATCCGCTGGATCCTGTGTATACTTCGCATATTTATCATAAGAACTTGCCAAAAACTTCTCTAACTTGTCCTTCAACTCTGGCTGCAGACAATTTATACTGATGCGGCTAAAATTCTTCGTAAAATCGTTAAAATCTTTCTGGCCATAGAAGAAAGGCTGCTTCATCTTCTTCACTCTCTCTTCAAAGAATTTAGGGCGCTTCTCCTTTAATATAAAAGCAAAGCTATGGTACTTTGCGAGCTGTTGTATTGCCATCTCTGCAAACTTCAGCGGTAGCACTTCCATTCTCGGATACATGGCAAAACCCTGTAATGCCAAATTCTCCATAATTATTATTTGGTCATCGGTACTGTTGTAGCTTTTGGCAATTTTAAATCTTTCTTCTTGAGGTAGAGAATATTCATCCTGTACCTCATAAGCAATGTCACGGAACTCAGTATACATGTACGTTTCGTTTTTATAGGCGTAAGGCATTGAGTATATGTTTACATCGCCATCTTGGATCATTGTTTTCGTAAACAAATTGAGCTCTTTACTAGGGCCATCAGGGGTTTCTCCCTTTATGTTAATTTCCCGAAGTACACCCAGATAACTGCCATCTGCTTCGATTTCCCTCACGTCTATGGAATAAGTTGTAAAGTTTTCTTTTTGTATGATGTTTTCTATGGGTTTTTGAAGTTTTGGCGGGAGAACTTGCACGCTCGGCATGTTTATTTATCTGTATAGAATATTATGAGGAAATTAATATTGCGCAATCGGTGAAATATTTTATGTAGATATTATTGTAAATACCAATATTAGGTAATTTTTTTTAAATTAATTAATAAAAAATTAAGCAGATAACTAAATCTATAAAAATATAATTTCAAAAGTATAAGCAATTGATTTTAATTCTAAATTACGAATTGTACAGTCGAAAACATATCAGCTACTAAATCTTCAATGAAAAATAGCATCTATTGCCAACTGCATNTTACACTCGCCCCAACCGCGTCTCCGCATTCCATCGAATCCTATAAAAATGTGGTTTTTGGACATAGCGATACTTATTTTTCACAATTTTTATTTTTTAAAATTACTGGTCGATAGGTTACTTTATTTTGATGAATAAATGTTATTAAAAGTTTTTTTCTAAAACTGATAGTTTAGCTGGAAAAAATATTTTCCATCCCAATAGTACGCCGGCTGCGCTCGATTCGGATATAGTGACGTCACGCGGCCCTGCGCACAGTGTTTTAGAAACCCTCAAAATCGGATATGATTAAGTTAATGCCATGAGTCGATAGCGTGTTATGTTTCAATCACAAGAGTGAAACTCACGTGTGCTCATTTTACTTGGTTTTTGAGAAAAAAATTGTGAGTTGGCCGTTTTTAAAATTCCTAAAAATGAAAAAAAATTTTTTTTAATAATTATGAGGGTTTGTAAACTTATGATAAAGCTGATTCGATTGATCATTAAAAGACGCATGTATTGTACTTTATTTCATTTCTACAAGTCAAGTAGTTCCAGAGATTTTAATTATTTTTCATTATTTAGACTTTTTTTTTCTTCCATCCTAAATGGAATCCGCAATTTTATTTCATACTGAACAATACTTTGGTATAGCCTCTATATAGAAATGTTTTTATCTTTCGTGGATCGTGTCTTGTACCAGAGATATATGAATTTCTTTTTTTTTATTTTCGCCTATACCATTTTTTATAGCAATATTTCATCGACGCATTGGAATAATATGATAAGGCGTTTTAAAGAATAATTACAAGGGGACTTCGTCGTCAAAAATATGTGTCTCCCGTGCCAAATACATTGTGTCGTTTATATTATTATGGACATTTCATTTACTCTGTACTGTGTTCGGTATCTCCAGTATCTTCGGTGTCTTGGTGTTCGTGTTGGCAAGGTTGAAGTAATGAAAGTACTGCTTTAGAGAAAGGTATTCTTTTCAATTTAATTTGCTAAATGGGTTTTAGCAATCGCCCTACGAGTGTGGACCCCTTCCCGTGCCACACACAACCCTTCATCGGAGTATAGTTAACGTCAGATTATATTTCAATGCGTAGATGAAACATTGCTATAAAAAATTGTATAGGCGAAAATAAAAAAAATAAAAATTCATACATCTCTGGTACAAGACACGATTTACAAAAGATAAAAATATTTCTACATAGAGGCTATACCAAAGTATTGTTCAGTATGAAATAAAATTGCGGATTCCATTTAGGATGGAAGAAAAAAAATAAAGTCTAAATAATGAAAAATAAATTCAAATTCAAATTCAAATTCAAATTATTTATTTGCTCAAAAAATAGGGTAAATACATAAGTGGTGTTGGAATTTTATTAAAAGTGCATTCCTATTTGGCTAATGTCAGTTAGCATGCAAATTACAATTGATCATAAAATAATGTCGATTGATTACATAATATTATATTTATATTGATTCAAATAAAATTCATTAGCATATTTTTTCAGTCAAAAACTCAGTTATCGAATAATAGCATTTGTCAATTAAATATTCCTTAAGCTTTAATTTAAATATGTTAAAGTCATTTATGTCTCGTATGGATTCCGGTACTTTATTATAGATACGAGGAGCATTTCCAAAGAAACTCTTATTAAATAAAGTAGTTTTAGCTTCGATGGCACACAGTTTGTTTTTGTGACGTTCACGGGTCCTGAACTCAAATTTATCAATATTATTTTTTATAAATATACAACACTCCAGAATGTATAGACAAGGTAAGTTCAAGATTTTTTTATTTATGAAATAAGGCTTACATGAGACATCTGACTTTAGACTATACATAGNCTTACGTCAAATTTCGCCATAACGTTGCTATGTCGGTAGTCGCCATGCACCAAAGTCCATGTATCCGCTGGATCCTGTGTATACTTCGCATATTTATCATAAGAACTTGCCAAAAACTTCTCTAACTTGTCCTTCAACTCTGGCTGCAGACAATTTATACTGATGCGGCTAAAATTCTTCGTAAAATCGTTAAAATCTTTCTGGCCATAGAAGAAAGGCTGCTTCATCTTCTTCACTCTCTCTTCAAAGAATTTAGGGCGCTTCTCCTTTAATATAAAAGCAAAGCTATGGTACTTTGCGAGCTGTTGTATTGCCATCTCTGCAAACTTCAGCGGTAGCACTTCCATTCTCGGATACATGGCAAAACCCTGTAATGCCAAATTCTCCATAATTATTATTTGGTCATCGGTACTGTTGTAGCTTTTGGCAATTTTAAATCTTTCTTCTTGAGGTAGAGAATATTCATCCTGTACCTCATAAGCAATGTCACGGAACTCAGTATACATGTACGTTTCGTTTTTATAGGCGTAAGGCATTGAGTATATGTTTACATCGCCATCTTGGATCATTGTTTTCGTAAATAAATTGAGCTCTTTACTAGTGCCATCAGGGGTTTCTCCCTTTATGTTTATTTCTCGAAGTACGCCCAGGTAACTGCCATCTGCTTCGATTTCCCTTACGTCTATGGAATAAGTTGTAAAGTTTTCTTTTTGTATGATGTTTTCTATGGGTTTTTGAAGTTTTGGCGGGAGAACTTGCACGCTCGGCATGTTTATTTATCTGTATAGAATATCATGAGGAAATTAATGTTGCGCAATCGGTGAAATAAATATTATTATAAATACCAATAGATTAAATTTTTTAAATTTATTAATAAAAAATTAAGCAGATAACTAAATCTATAAAATAGCTTTTGAAAAGTTTATTTAATTGATTTTAATTTTAAATTACGAATAGTACAGTCGAAAGCCAACTGCATAAGATGTCGCAATATTTATCTTGTTAATGCTGTCGTCTGCACCCAATTTACAAGTAAAAAGTTTACTATGTCACAGTCAGTATCAGTGATTTACTTTTTATAAAACATCAACATAACCTCAATTTTACAGTAAAATACAAAAATTAAAATACTTACGTTTATACACGATTTTTTTCTTTATTTCACTTTCTAATACGATATCTCACTACGTTTCGGCACACAATAATCTAACAAGATAAGGTAGGACGTTTTTACACTCGATGTTGCAAGAACGGGTGTGTTCATGGTCGTGGCCACTTTTGATATTTTTGCTACGCTCGCTGCGTCTCTGATTTTTATTAGTAGTATTGTAAGTAGTAAAATAAAGATGACGGAAATAAATTATAAATCCACTAAATGGAATGACATTTGCGGTTATCATTTTAGTTGACGTTGCATAGATGGCGCTCTTTTCCAATGAAAACAAATGAAGGTTTTTAACAATAATGACTATGAAAAACTGTTTTGTTCCATAAATTATGAATGAAAAGTATTCTGTATTTAAACTTAATCAGATAAAAGATAACAAATATACAATTTTCAATAGAAATTGTGTCATCATTGCCACTGCACGTGTCATCCGAATTGTATTTGGTCTAAAAGCGAGTGACCCACATTTAGTTCATAGACCTGTGGGTAAACACCACACAAATTACGTGAGGCGTCCTGAGTGGAATACAAACTAATTGATTTGTTTTGTAGTGTTACTAAACTAAGTTCCTAATGACACTAATTTAGAAATTATTCTAATAGACTAGAAAAAAATTAATCTGGCCACACCATTAAAATTACAATTCATTTATAGGCATAATAATCTATCTATGAAGTAGTTAGAAGTTTTATGATCTTAAATGTCATAGCACAACGTATTAGTAAAAAATTATCAAGTCTGTCTAGGCAAAATATTTATTTTAATATACCTACTTACTTCGATATTCGAATAATTTATTTTCACATTAAAAAAAAACACTGTGTTATTATCATTTAAGGAAATTTCAATTTAAAAATTGTGAGTACCTATACGAGTACATACACTGAAATATTATTATGTTTAAGTTCTTTAGTAAGTACCTAAGTAATTAGGTCGGGCCAAATGAAATAGGTAATGGATACTATTAATTAATTGAAAGATCTCAACATTAGTAAACAAACGTAGGTAAACCAAATTTTAGGTAAGTTATGCCATTAAAAGNAATCAGAAGAACATAGGAGGAGTTCGAAATTAAGGTTCGACTTCCCTCCATTGCAAAGCGGATGACAGGTGACAAACAAAGGTTTAAAACCTTTAAGAAAAGATTATGCACCACGGACAATAAATTAAATTAAGGGGGCCTATCTTATGAGCAATTAGCAACTACCTGCCAATAATATTTTTCACAAAATCGCTTAAAAGCACGGAAATTTTTCCTTGTCGCGACAAGATCGGTGTAATAAATTGCGGAAACAGATGTATGTTGTATTGAATTAAGCATGCACTCCTCCTATGTTCTTCTGATTAATTTCGTTGCGGGTCCAATGACAGTTTAACTTTCCCCCGGGACAAACTTGGCCTTCATTGGTTGGGTTTTTGTGGCGGTCAAGCTGTAGATCCTGGCTACACAGGAGTTGCAGTGGTGGGAACGAGAGGTGGGAATAGTCCCGTAAGTTATGCCATTAAACAAGTAAAAAATCGTTTTACAGTCTGTAGGCATCTTGAAGGATTTATTAACTTAACAGTTAATACCCAAATTAAGTTTGGTGACTATTAAAGTTTTCGTTTATAAAGGTATTATTATTCATCAACTTTGAGAACCACTGGCCTAATGTATTGTTACTGCAACTACTCAAAATTGCATCTAAACTGTACCTGTTGATGTTAAATAAATAGTTTTCTAAACAATTATTGTAAAGTGGATATTATTATTCACTATAAGTAATTGAATCAAAGCCACAACTGATAAACATAATACGAGTAACTAGAAAACAGGTATTGGACTTCCCTACATGGTATTTACATACTTACTCATTACCCTTCACCTGATATTGGACAGACCTTCCTTATAAATAGTTTGATCGAGTTTTCCTCGTATTAGATACTTTAAACTTGGATAAAGCACACGTGAACGTTGAAATGGCAGTTTACAATGAAGATGATAAAATGAAAACTAATCTAAAAGCATATACCGATGCCATCGCCAAAAGTCAAGGACTCACAACATACAAATGTGACATTAAAAATTTAAGTGCTGTGCAAAGCTTGGGGATTAAAACTGAAGTAGATATAAAAGGTGAAACAGTGAATGGTGAAAAGGAAATAAATTTATTTGTGAAATCAAAACCTGTAGATGACGAAAACAATATTAAGTTTATATCAATTAACGACGTGTATTCGAGAGAGTTGTACGCTTATAAGGATCTTTCGGATATTTACCGACAGCTACAAGAAAAAGCAAACATACCTTTAAAAGACAGATACAGATTCATTCATGTTTACGAGGAAAGTGACACAGACACGATAATTATGGACAACATCGCAAAAAAAGGATTCGTAAATTGTCACAGATGCGAAATTATTTCTCTCGACTGTGCAAAGGCGTGCATAAAGCAATTGGCTAGATTCCACTCCTTATCATTTGTTTTGGAAAATGAGATGTTAGATTATTTCAACTGTAACATAAAACTTTTGAAGTACCCCCTAATTTATAATGAAGAATACGTGACATTCTTAAACAATGCGTACGAGCGATGTCACAACCTTTTGGGGGATGAATACAAAATGAAATTGGAAAACATTCGAAACATTTGCGAGAGGTATTATCATTATGTTAACAATGATTCAGTAATAAGGTGCCTCTGTCACGGAGATTATACGGCTCAGAACATAATGATGAAGAGTATTGTAAGTATTCTATTCTAATTCTATAGAGACGAGCAATATGGAAAAACCATCAAAACCGATCATAAAAATATTTAAACCTATTAAATTGTAATGTGCACTCACACCATATTGATAGCTATTGAAACAGAATTTATCTTTTGAACTAGGCGCACAATAATTTCATAACATAACGCCTGATTTGGACTTCTTTGCAAATCAACACGTCTGAGAAACATTTAGGTACCTACACCNTATGTTAAAGTCATTTATGTCTCGTATGGATTCCGGTACTTTATTATAGATACGAGGAGCATTTCCAAAGAAACTCTTATTAAATAAAGTAGTTTTAGCTTCGATGGCACACAGTTTGTTTTTGTGACGTTCACGGGTCCTGAACTCAAATTTATCAATATTATTTTTTATAAATATACAACACTCCAGAATGTATAGACAAGGTAAGTTCAAGATTTTTTTATTTATGAAATAAGGCTTACATGAGACATCTGACTTTAGACTATACATAGATCTAATGCAGCGTTTTTGTGCTCTAAATACAACTTCCCTGTTAGATGAATTACCCCAAAAAATTAATCCATATCTAAGTATTGAGGCAACATAGCTGTGGTAGGCTGTTAGTACAGCGCTTTCATTAACTATTAATTGGAGCCTATAAAGTGCAAATGAGAATTGGCTCAGTTTTTTACAGACATTTTCAGAATGCAAGGCCCAGTTCAATTTACTGTCTATATTTAACCCAAGGAATTTGGTTACATTTGTCTTTTCAACAGACTTTCCTAAATATCGAATGTCAAGGTTCAAGTCAATATTCTTTTGGGTAAAGCACATAATTTTGGTTTTATTTAAATTAATTTTTAGATTATTAGACTCAAGCCATTTGATTATCAATTTTAAAGATTCGTTAATGTCAGATTCAAGAATTGTCAAATTTTTATTAGCAAATAAAATAGTGCTGTCATCGGCAAATAAAGTCATATGATGGTTTGATGCAGAGGGCAAGTCATTTATATAAATTAGAAATAGTAACGGTCCCAAAACGCTACCTTGGGGTACTCCAAATTTTACGGTGCGAAGATCAGACTGATAGGTAATTTCAGTTTTGCTTCTGAAATCTATATATATAATAAAAATCTCTGGAACTACTTGACTTGTAGAAATGAAATAAAGTACAATACATGCGTCTTTTAATGATCAATCGAATCAGCTTTATCATAAGTTTACAAACCCTCTTAATTATTAAAAAAATTTTTTTTTCATTTTTAGGAATTTTAAAAACAGCCAACTTTCACAATTTTTTTCTCAAAAACCAAGTAAAATGAGCACACGTGAGTTTCACTCTTGTGATTGAAACATAAGACGCTATCGACTCATGACATTAACTTAATCATGTCCGATTTTGAGGGTTTCTAAAACACTGTGCTGCGTACGTTGACTTTTAGCGGCAAAAACGGCCTATGTTTATTACTTAATATCTTCGTAAGTAATGGTCCGATTTGGATAATTCAAAAAGATGTATCTTTCTTATGTCTTAAAGATTAACGTAGATACTAGTTTTATTGAATTTTCTACAACAGTACTGATCCTCATTACCGGTTGCCTAGGAGTTGTATTTTTAATACAAAATTGAAGATTATAAATAAAAAATGTATGGACTGTTATTACTAAGACCGTTCAATTTCAGTTAAAGATTATAAAAATGTATGTATACTTATGTATACAAAATTGTTTATTAAGTATACAAAGTCACTTAGAAGAAGGAAGTAAGCATTTCAAAGATATTCAGAAGTAAAAAAATACCTAAGCCAATTTTGGGTCATACTGAATAATTACCGCTTATATTTTTGCGTAACACTTACGTAAAAGCTTTAAAGATTTTTCTTATTTTGTAAACAACAACGTACTACTGAACGTTGTTCTAAAGATAAAAATAATTAAGTCTAGAAATACATTTGCATGAATTTTTACATACAGGGTGTACTAATACAACATTATTATAAAAAATATTTAAAATTCACCTTTATTTTCAGGATGGGAAATCAACAGAAGTAATTCCACTGGATTATCAATTTATATTCTACGGATCACCTGTTTTAGACATAATTTATTTAATATTCGGTACAACAGACCGAGATTTTAGAAAAGACCATTTGGAAGATCTTAAAAATGTATACCATGACACAATGAAAGTTTTTTTTAGTTATTTCAAAATGGACATAAACTTGCACTATCCTAGAAAAGAATTTGATAAAGCCTTTGAGGAAAGTCTGGAATTTGTATTAATGTTTTCTGTGTGGTACTTACCAAAACATCTAGCGGATGAAAATGAAGTCTTAAACCTTAATAAGACTAGTTTAGACTATGCTAATATTATTAACGACAGGGTTAAATCAAGATTGGAAGGTATAATAGATGATCTTACAGAATGGGGAGTTTTTGACAAAAATGTTGAAGAATCAAAAACTACAACTAATGTATCTGAATAAGTATGTAATCAGGTAATTATAGCTGAAAATAAATGCTTTATGTGTTTTTAATTTATACAGGATGTCCCAAAATTAGTAGTCACACTGACACTGGAGGTAGGCTTACGCATCGAATAAGTCAATGATGTCCCTAGAAATATTTATAAGTTTTGGGATATGATCAAGTTTAGTCCATAGAAAAAGTTTATATGTTATTAAGACCAATTTTATTGATTTTTAATTATTATAATGGACTTAATAGACTTGTTCAATTCGTCTTAGGACCATCTACCTCCGGGGTCAGTGTGACGTGCTAATTTTGGGATACCCTGTATTCCAAATACATAATTAATCTACTATATAAAAATAAGTCGGGTTTTCCTCCCTGACGCTATAACTCCAGAACGCACGAACCGATTTCCACGGTTTTGCATTCGTTGGAAAGGTCTCGGGCTCCGTGAGGTTTATAGCAAAGAAAATTCGGGAAAAGGGGGTAAAACGGGATCCACGCGTACGAAGTCGCGGGCGGCCGCTTGTTTATAATAAATTCAAAATGCAAATATTTTGGCACTTTGCATTACAATGACAACTATAATTTAGTGTGAAAATCAAATAACATAAAACGAACGAAATATTTTTAACAAGCAAACGTGTTTAACACAAACAGGCAACAAAAAACTAAACGGAAATATACCAGCATCTAAGTTGTATTGGAAAATAATACACCGTTATCTGTTTCGGTTCCACGCTTAAAAATATATTAACAAGGTAAGTATATTATTATGTACCTAAAATATTAAGATAATAATGTATATTTGATCAAATACATTCTATTGTCTAAAATTGATTTAAATTTAATTTAGGATTTTTATTTTATTGGAAGCTACACTACTTAGTTATGGTCCTTGAATCGCTCCCTGAACAAAATTGTAAGTTAATATATTTTGATCTTAAGAAATCGTATAAATATCTTATAAATAAAGGACCCATGAAGCCATTCTTTTCTTTGCAATCCATAACAGGGTTACCAAAAATTTTTGCAACTAGCAACGCCTGATTTCTCGAAAATGTTGAAGAAAAAAAACGCATGGGTGAAGGGAAACTATGCATCGTTTCATGTTATTTTAGTTACGATGGAGCGCTTTATGGGAAAACAACGCGCTTTTTTAGATTTTTTTGACGATTCCTATTTGACTGGTACGTCGCCCGTTAGATAGAATAGAAGTAGGTACTTTATTCAGAATTTATCATTTAGGTTCTAAATTTTTATAGAGGCGAGCAGACAAGGCGCCCGCTCAGCAAAAAAATCGTGACATGACACAAGTCGTCATATCATTGTCACGAATATTAAACAACAACTTACACGACGTAATACTAATACGTACTCAGTTCTAAATACACACAGTTACATAGGAATCGTTGCTTTGGTAAATTTTATTATAACCCTCCTTTTGCTTTGCCGTCATCGGGTAAAAAAAGCAACTGCGTAAAAATTAACTGGTATGATAGAAACAAGACAACTTAGTGTTCACAAATGCAGACGGATGCATCAATGAGTAGTTCTTTTGTTATTGATATTTTATTTAGTATCTATAATATATTTTTTGTAAGTTATTTATGAAACGCTTTGGAGACGAGATATATCAAGCGTTTCTATTAGCAAACATTTTTGGCCCGCCATATTATTTTGTAGACTTTTATCGTTACAATGTATTTTTGTTTTAGAAAAAAAAAACATGTCATACAGTCAACAAAGCGTTCTACCACCCAAATTACAAGAAGCAATAGATAAAATTATTCAGAACGAAGATTTCATATCTTATCACATAGAAGTCAAGAGAATTGAAATAAATAATAGCTTTGTCGGCGAATATAGAGAAATAAATATAAGAGGTGAAAGTAAAAATGGCAATAAAAAACTACAATTATTCACTAAAACTAAGCCTGAGATCTTTGATGAGATGAGTAAAGCAGTGAAGGTAGTGAACGCATCGAATGTTTATAAGATAGAAGCATTTATGTATTCTGAATTCCATAAAACAATAAATGAAGTTCAAGAAGAAGCCAACATACCCTTCGAAGAGAGATATGTACTTGCTAAAAGTTACGTTAGCAGTGATGAAAATACTATTATAATGGAAAACTTGGCAGCCAAAGGGTTCACAATGTATCCGCATCAACGAGTGATAACACTGAAGTTCGCAGAGTTAGCAATACAAAGTTTAGCCAAGTTCCACAGCTTTGCCTTCATACTTCAGGAAAAGCGTCCACTTTTTTATGAGAACAAAGTGAAAAATATGAAACTACCTGTATTTTATGGTAAAGACATTTTTAACGAAGCAGTACAGAAATATAGCCAAATAACCATTGACACCTTAAATCCAGAACAGAAAAAGAAGTTAGAGGAATACTTGCCGACAACTTATGACAAATATAAGAAATACACTCAAGATCCAGCGGATGTTTGGACTTTAGTGCATGGAGATTACAAAGCTAGTAATGTTCTAGCAAAATTTGAAGTTAGTAGATTCAACATTGAAGAAATTATTGTTAAATTTAAGTAATGCAATAATCCGTTTTGGAAACCAGATAATATTTTTTCAAATCTTAAATAATAAAGTTCTAATTTTTTCCAGAATGGCGACGTAATCGAAGTAATTCCTATTGACTACCAACTTCCTTATTACGGCTGCTCTATCGTCGACTTGATCTATTTTTTAATTAGCAGTACCGACCGAGAATTCAGGAAGAACTACATGGAACACCTCAAAAACATGTATCATGAATCTATGAAGAATTTTTTGAAACTATTTAATATGGATATTGAAAAATACTACCCGAAAGCAGAATTTGAGAGGCTTTTTAAAGAGAGACTAGATTTTGGCCTGATGCTGGTACTGTGGTTGCTTCCAGGCGCTTTGGGGACTCGAGCCAAAAGTCGTGATACTGAAGTTATTTCCGACCAAAGCAAACTTAATGATTTGATCCAAAAGAGGCTTAGTGACATCGTTGACGATTACATTCAATGGGGCTACTTATGATTTATAAGACATTAAAATATACTTTATATTTAATTTTAAAGTTATTCATAAATAACTGAATGATATCATTCAGGAGTATTTAGGACTTACGTCAAGTTTATAATTTCTGTTTAATAGTAAAATAAAAATATTGCATTCTTTCTTATTCTTTATTTTCGTAAATACTCGTATTATGAAAACAGTGCATAAAACCCAAAAAAATCCGGCCAAAATCGGACTCGCGCACCGAGGGTTCCGTACAAACTTATACTATACTTACGAGCAAAAGTATGGAATCACCCTCTTGTGTTTTGTTCCCAGCAATCTGAAGACCTCGATTATTATCTATGTATGTATGTATAGAATAAAATTAAAGTTTATAATAATCTTTAAACTGGTACCACTTTTCATTTAATATTCATAGTCATTTAGTTCCAAAGATCACTCGAAACGAATGTGGCTTTTTTCTCGCGAGTGTAGATATTATGTAGGTAGGTAAATAGTTTATTCCTGAAATTGAGATTATTGAGCAAAAGCGCCAAAAAAACACGTTCAAATAAACGAAATACTAACACCATAGGACCATTCATTCAAAATTCAAATTCAAAACGTTTATTTGCTAAAAACACAGTAATACAGTGNACATCGTTGACGATTACATACAATGGGGCTACTTATGATTTATAATACAATAAAATATACCTACGTTATGTTTAATTTTCAAAGTCCCTGAATAACATTATCATTCAGGAGTATTCAGGACTCACGTCAAGTTTACAATTGTTGTTTAATATTAAAATAAAAATTATGCATTCTTTCAAATTTTTCATTTTCGTTAAATACTCTTATTAAGAAAACAGTGCATAAAACCCAAAAAAATCCAGCCAAATGCGAGTCGGTTATTATGTAGGTAGATAAATAAATTATTCCTGAAATTGAGATTTTTGAGCAAAAACGCCAAAAAAAACCCGTTCAAATAAACGAAATACTATAACACCATAGGACCATTTAATGGAACCCTTATAGGTAGTGTGATGAACACTTGTTTGAGTCGAATTTTGTATGACAAAATATAGACTCCAACCAAAAACATTTGCATGTAAAATGTTGCCATGACGAACCGTATGGAATTCTGAAAAAGTTATCAAATTTATGTAGAGCCAAGCTTCTAATCCTACGCGCCCTAACTCTACACCTGAGTCAAAATTTAGTTTTCAAGGCGAGAGTGAATAGGCACTTACAGATTATGTACCATCCTAGACTGCATCTCACTTAACACCAGGTGCGATTGCGGTCAAATACCTGCCTTGACTTGCACCTAAAAATAATAATGTGGGATGGCCGTTTCGCTATTGTCACAATATTGTGGGCGTTAGATCAAAAATTTTGTAATTCCATAATTATTTATTTATTTTATTATTTGTAACAAGGAGAACCTTTATCAAATTTTAGAAGTTTGTATAAAGACTTCTGCTTTGCTATCTATCTTCATGCAAACTTCCATCCCTTATTTCAAGGGATTCCCGGTTGCGGGGTACCAAGTTTTAGAACTTTTTAGTTGTTTTTGTAGGTACTAGCTTACATACCGAATTCCAGCACTAACGACTTGTTCCCACGGTGACATTTTGTTTAAGCAGGATCTCGTTTAATACGAGACGTGTTTTAATATTAACGTTCACATGAACATTGCATTTGCAGTGTCCCGCAAAAAATCGATCCGTTCGAAATTCGAATGAACAAAAGGAAGTTCAAAAAACTACGAACCACTTCGAGAAAGAATATATTTTGCTCTTCAAATGCCTCATCTTGGCGGGAGCACTTCCGTGCCCCTAGATACTTCAAATTTCCATTGTTCTGTTGTAAATTGATAACTAATCTACCGTTCCGTTTCAAATTTAGAACACTGTTCAAAAATACCTCTCATACCTACATTATTTTTTTCAGTATCTTTGACAACCTGTTTCTGGTGCCATTTACAAACCGTCTTCAATCTATTTCGAAATATTCATAAACATTATTTAGTTTCAAAAGACTCATGTAAGTACTTATTAGAATATTCACCAGTTAAGGTTGACTTGTAGAAAACATTTCAGCTACGTTTCGTTGAAATTAATATTGGAAAGTTGGTTTTCAGTGATATTTTGATATTTCATAATTAATACACTTTCATACCTATGACTAATGTAGCGTGCTCCAATCTTAAGTTTCTAATTACTTTAATGTAATTAAAACACTCAAACCAACCAGTTATTTTCATATTTTCCATTATAATCATAACTTTGCATACTTGTTTGTTTTAGAATAAAATAGAACAAAAATATGTCATCGAGCCAATATCTGCCCCCTGAACTACAAGAAGCAATAGAGACGATTATCAAAAATGAAGACTTCACAGCTTTTAATATAGACGTCAAGAAAGTAGAAAAAATTAATAGCTACGTTGGTGTTTACAGAGAAATAAACATAAAGGGAGAGAACAAAAATGGACATAAGGAACTTCAGCTGTTTACTAAAACTATTCCTGATAAAACTTATATCGAAGCAAGTGCTTTGAGTGCAATATGTTCCATAACAGATGCATTTAAAAAAGAGAATTTTATGTATTCAGAATTTCGCAAGACTATCGATGAAGTGCAAGAAGAAGCCAACATACCCCTCGAAGAGAGATATACGCTTGTTAAGAGCTATGCTAGCACAGATTCAGACACAATCGTAATGGACAATTTGGAGGCAAAGGGTTTCGTAATATATCCACATCAAGACGTGATGCCGTTGAAATTCGCTGAGTTAGCAATGCAGCGCTTGGCCAAGTTCCATAGTTTAACCTTCATACTTAAAGAAAGGCGTCCGAAATTCTTTGAGGAGAAAGTTAAGATATTGCACCATCCTGTATTTTACAAAAAAAAATCGTGTCGAGAGTTTTTTGACAATTTAACTCAAATTAGTCTCAATTTCTTAAGTCCATGTCAAAAAGAGAAGATGGTGGAGTTCCTACCGACCACGTATGATAAATATGAAAAGTATCTGCTAGATCCAGCGGACACATGTACTTTAGTCCATGGAGATTATAGACCTAGTAATATCATGGTACAACTCAAAGTAAGTAATTCAATAGGAGCGCTTTATCCCAGAGGAACATACTCTGCCAACAGTCCTAAATGCATACTTAAATAAGTTAGTCTTAGGAAAACTAATATTCACGATTATTGTAGTTGCTTTCACAGTTAATATAAATATCTACATGACCCTTGTGCTGTTCTAGGACGGCGACGCTTTCGAAGTGATGCCCATTGACTACCAATCTGTCTTCTACGGCTGCTCCATCTTCGACCTGATCTGGATCACGATCACCAGCACAGACCAAGAATTCAGGAAAAATCACATGGAACACCTCAAAAACGTATATCATGAGTCCATGAAGGAGTTTTTAAAACTTTTCAACATGGACGTTGAACAATATTACCCGAGAGCAGAATTTGAAAGGCTTTACAAAGAGAAGCTTCCTCTTGGTCTGATGTTTGCACTGTGGTTTCTTCCAGGGCATTTGACGAACAATGATGATATTTTAAACAAAGATTTTTCTGCGTCGAGCTTCAAAAAGAGTGATGTGTTCGAAACAAGGATTCGGGGTATCGTAGACGATTACATACAATGGGGCTATGTATAATAATCATTTTTTTTGTTACCTAAATTTTCATCATCATTTTTACGTCAATCTGAAGAAATCTTTATAAATTAATGACTGTATAATGTATGGATTTTAAGACTTGTTACTGGTTCATTTATTAAATAAACAGCTACTACAAAATGTTGATAATTATTCACCATTCAGCATCCTTTGCTAATAATAAACTAATTTCTACCAGAGAAGGTCATTCGATCATCATGGTCTATACTGTCAATATAAATATTAACAGTTTGTGAGGATATTATGTACGAGTGTCATGTCAAATGTTTTAGATACTCTTACTTTTTTAAAACTATCTAACATGGAAATTGAAAAATATTAATTACTCGTAAGCAGAATTTGAGATCTTTTCTCTATAATATTAGTAGATCTAATGTTGTTATAATCCAGATATGAAGGGGTGAGTGGACAAAGGTGTTATCTGACAAAACTGAAGAATCGACTTTTTTGCATGAACATAGGTTTTAAGTGATGATAAAATCGACTAATGAGCTCAAAACACGCAATTTTGTTACGTGTCAAACCTTAACAAAGGTGTTATCTGACAAGCATTCATACATTTCAGGACTCAAATGTGGTACGAGCAGATTCACATTTTCAAACACTCATAACTCATTTTGTTAGTTAAGACCTTTGTCCACTCAGCCCTTCATAATAATATATGAAATAAATAGATTCCCAATATGTTTTTAAAGATCAAAGATAAAGATAAGTTAAAATATAAAAATACGATTATGTTAGGCGACAAGCCACATTCACAGATAAATACACAATGGTTGGTCTCCAATGGATCGATGGGGATCGAACTAAAGTTCCTCGAAAGTAGAATCAACTTATTCTGTGATTGAATCAGCAGTCTGACACTGACACCGTACGTCCATTGCCCTAAGCGTCAGACTCAGACCCCCTTTGGAAATTTTCTAAACATCTAAGGGTCCTTTCATTAGTTTTGCTGGATCCCGTAAAACTGATCTATTGAGTGAACTACAAAAACAACTGTGTGTTTGAAGTTCGAATTCAATATTCCCTCAGAGCGCTTTTTTGAGAGACACTGCCAAGGAGATGTTCGTGTGAATGTTAAAATACGTATACTACTAAAGGGGATCCTGTAAAAATAGTTCTTGCAAAAAACGGTGTCTTCATGGGAATGAGCCCTAATACTTAATCCTATTGGATGAATCTTGTACAGATAGTTTTCAGTCTGGTTGTGAGTCACCACCTACTCTAAACACCCTAAACAAAGACTACTGTCCTAGGATATCACACACATTTACCAGCGGCTCCCCAACTAAAAATATTGAAAAAACCAACATAGTAATGTTCAGTGATGAGTTAGGCAAAAATATGGGCCAACTGATTAATGGTTATTTGGGACAAAGTGTGATCAACCATTGCTTACCGGGTGCTTCCTATTTACAAATTATGAGAAAAATAACAAATTATTCGTTCTCAATAAATACCACATTAGTAATTTTAATAGGAAATAGGGGCAATGTAGGCAAAAAAGACCTACTNCGAATTTTGTATGCCAGAGTTATCCTCTATTGTCTTACGATGTAATTTAAATTATGATTTGGAACAGATTCCAAGGGTCGAACTAGAGGTATGAATACACTGACATATAATCAATGCAAATTCCATGTAATTGACATTAACAATTATTTAAAAAATAAATGTTTATTGACAATAGATAAATATAATTATCTAAATAAATATTGTAAAAGACGAATAGCGAATTCGCTATCATATTTTATTAAATATTTAGCCATTAATTTGGCTAGCCAAACTGCTTTTATTGAGCAGACCATGGATGTTTGAGGTCGAACTAGAACTAGAGGGGCATGACTGAGGATCTAATGTCTTCAAATTCCAGGATGTACGGCTACCTCGTCTCCACCTACGAGTCTGCCTCCTTACGGCGTTTCCGCAACGGTCGCGTGGACAACATCAGGTCGGCGCACGACGCAGCCCTGGCCTGGGCCGCCGCCATGTGCACGGCCGAGACTCCGCCCCTCGGAGACGCCGACGACGGCCAGAAGAAGGTCTCTTTTAACTTGTACGGGGTGAGGACCCTTGCCTTTACCGAAGGTTACAGTGTAGATGGATGTTAGGTCCTGGACTCCTGGTATTGACAGCAACAAATATACGCTCAAATAGCACGATAGCCGAACGGTGAAGGGGTCGGACTGGCCGACTCGTGATCCGGGGAACGCGGGTTCGGTCCCCGCCGCCGCTCGACTATTGTGGTGAGCTCACTCGTGACACAAGCATATTTAGCTTAGTACGAGGGGCTAGCGGGAGTATTAGTAATTTGTGTAATAACAAATTACTAATAATCTTTTCAAAAAAAAAATACAACATGTTTCTCATTTTCTTTTGTGTCGTGGTATATCTAAAGTCACAACCTAGGAGTTGTTAGTCTTCATGAGCCATCATTTGCGAAAACTTTCCCACGAGACTTCCGTATGACTGAAGCACAGCGTAGATATTACTGAGTCAGATTCCTCGCTATTGCAGCAGTTCAGAAACGCGAGTTTTTGACACATTAAACGTCAGTGAGACTTCAGACCCTCCTTACAATATGACTGCATTTCACCAAAGTCCTAGAAACAATATGATAGAATTGCTGTGGCAAGTTCTCAACCGTCACCATCCTTGCAGGAACAAAAGAAACTCGAGCTGTTCGAGGAGGCAGTCCGCAAGCAGACCTCCATCATGGAGGCCAACATCCTGGGCCGCGGCATCGACAACCACCTGTTAGGGCTGCGCGAGGCGGCGCGCGAAGCGCTGGGCTCGCTGCCGGCGCTCTTCACCGACCCCACTTACAAGCAGATGATCGAGTACAAACTCAGCACTAGCCAGGTTAGGTTAAAAGAAACTCGAGCTGTTCGAGGAAGCAGTCCGCAAGCTTAAAACTAGCCAGGTTGGTAGCTGCATACCAAACAATTGATGATCTCCAAGGTGCGTTAGAAACAGTAGATGTGTATGTGACTTAGCTACTCTTTTGATTGAATACGTTGCTGTTTCCAAGCCCAAGTCAGACAGCTTTTTCGAAGCGGGTATGTACCAGCGATATTGATTTGACGCTAACAGAGTGGTAAAAGCGAATTTTATGTATGACTAAAGCCCGATCCGTGAGCACGTAGAATTTTGTCCAATGACCCCAAGCTACCCATCCTTATCGCTCGAGCGTAATTAAGGTGCTGTCGCGCTCGCACACTCACTGCGGGCACCCGTCGCACAGTCGCGACAGCAATATAATTACGCGCGAGTGATAAGGATGGGTAGCTTGGGGTCATTGGACAAAATTCTATGTGCTCACGGACCAGACTATAGTATCACACACGCCCATCACGTTAGATAGTAGCTTACTAGACAAATGACTAATAACTTTTCTTCCATTTGCTTATACTGCAAGCTCTAACTTTTATCTTTTATCAAAAGGCAGTTTCTTTAAGCCGTAACTATTCGTATGCCAATAAGCGCTGGTGTCTGGTGGCGCTGGTACCTATGCTTGAAGCGACTTATATTTATGAGCTTTCAAACATCTCGCTCCCCAGGTGGCCACCACAACCGACGGCACATTCATGGGCTACGGCGCAGTGGTTCCAGACGGCTACGGCTGCAGCTACAACCCCAAGAAGGACTGCGTCATCTTCTGCATCTCCTCTTTTACCTCCTCCAGCGTCACCAACACCGAGGCCTTCAAGCAGTCGCTGGAGGAAGCCCTGGACTCAATGAAACTGATGTTCCAGAACAAAAAACCCGACAACTAAAACAACTAAGATTTGGAAAAGTATTGACACACTTATGTGTCTTTTAAACAAGATGATCTCTTATATTTAATGTTCGCACGAAAGATAAGGATAAGGAAATGAATACATATCAAGAATTGACTAAATTACACTTAGAAAATGTATGTCAAATAGATTGTAAGCCAAAAAGTTATTTCAAACTTATTATGCCAGTATTTTGAATGCTTGGTAGGGAATGTATATTTATTTGTTACCCTAAAGTTAGGTACGTTGATCTAATTAATTGTTATTAAGATAATTGTATCAATTATGTCGAATCTTTGCCGTGAATCGTAAGTCTTATGCAGATTAGTTGAGAAGAGAGTACGTTTTCTAGTCAAAAATCATTTAATGGCAAAAAGAAATCTTAAATTATTATTGTTGTAGCAATGGTTTCATCATTTATAAAATGTTCCTTGTTGCTTTAGACTTTCATGCCAAAATATAAATGGAATATATCCAAATGTTATGTATACTTTGTTATTAGAATTATTGAAAGGTATTTATTTAATGACCTAAAAACCTTTTGCACTAATGGTCCTATTTATACAGGGTGTTAAGTAAATGGGTATATGAGCCGACACTAGCCCATGTTAACATGGTCATATAAATGGTATGGTAAAGTCAGAAATTTGATATCATGATTTAATTTTTTTAAATTTTCATACAAAATAAATTTGATAAAATCCGATATGTATGAAAATTAAAATAATTAAAATGAAGATATCAATTTTCTGACTCCACCATACCATTTATATGACTGTTACAGGAAATGTATGAAATCCGTCATTGTATACAATTCCTAGGAATTGTGTATAAGTCCTAAAATCACCCGGAAATGTGTGATGTAAATTATATTAGACACATTTCCTAGGAAAATTACACATTTCCTAAACCGCAATCGGAAATGTTATTAAGATTTTTTTTTTACATAAAATTATTTTTATTACGCCACTTTTTGTTCTCCGAAACTTAAATGGCGCTACCGCGCCGCGGCAGCTGTGTATGTGTAAGGTCGCAAGTCTAACCTAACCTAACTGAGACTTTGTTATCCAGCTACAGGAGTACTAAAACCTTCATGTCAATAATAGTTTAATAAAAGAGATATTAAAATTAGGGATTTCCAATACTTCGGCGTAATATGCGTGATGCCGAAAGAAAGGTATAATAGTGCGAAAACAACTATCAGGCTAAACAATAATAATTGTGAGTTAAAAGTACCTATCAGCCAATGTGGTTTGGCTAAATGAAATTTTAGGTGTACCGAGGGACACCCGATCACGCGACCGCGCTTGTGCCGCTTAGTTTTATACATTTCCTAATACAATATTGGAATTCTATAAAATTCCTAGGAAAAGTATACATTTCCTAGGATATGTGCGTATTAAAAAATCTCTGAAGCAATATTTTATACATTTCCTAAATAGCTTCGGAATTGTATACATTTCCTAGGAATAGTATACAATTCCTAGAATTCATACATTTCCTGTAACATGACCATGTTAACATGGGCTAGTGTCGGCTCATATAACCATTTACCTAACACCCTGTATATTTATCAGCGGCTTTACAAGCAATTATTAGAATCTTTGTAGAGCTTTATACACATTTATTTATACACCTTTATATAAAATCTATATTTATACATTGGTTGATGTTTTAGGCATTTACGAAACCTTCTTTTAGTATTAGAACTTTATGATGATTCATATAAATGTGTGTCTAAAATCAAACCATGCTTAACGCACAATGGTTCGCATCGCAGACATAGATTTTGTATAGGTAATTATGATTCTTTATAAAACATAAAGAACGTACTATAGAGTGTGCACCACTGTAACCAACCGTAACATATTGTTATGGAAGCATTTTCCGGCACGTTAGATGCGGACGAGTGTGTAATTATTTTAAGTAAGTCCTATTTTATGAACCTAAATTAATTCTACGCGTTAAAATATAGTATAACACAAAACAAAAGCGTGGTAGATGTAAATGAAAATCTATGTGTCTAGAAATTACTCTTAAATCAAAAAAGTTTCGTACGCGATAGTGTATAAGTATAGGATGGTTGCATTTCAGTCAATTGTAACACGTATAGTACACTAATTATTGTACTCAGTGCTATTAAGAATTTCAGAAACGCACGTAAAATTAAGGTTAATATATATTTTAAAATTATCCTAAAAAATCTTTACAAACTCGAGTACAGATTTATAAATCACAAGCATGAATCTTTTTATTGTATTGGAATGAATGATTATCTGAACAATTACTAAAAACATTTTGAATTCTTCGATGTTTAAACGTAGATTTAACGTAAAATGTAATGGAGATAAATGAAGAGAAGTCAATGCTGTGGTGATATCATAATATTTAGACTTGTATCATACATATCAAGTAAACTGTACCTACTTAGATAATAGTCACTAAACTTTTCGCGTAAAATCAAGATTTAACTGTGCAATTATTCTGACATTTGTATAGAGTAATCGTGGTAAAAATATGGATAATATTGGTAGAAATAAAAATTACTTATAGTTTGTTCCAATCGAGCAGGCACGCTAACTACACTCAACACTGATTTAAAAAAAGGTAGCGGTTAAGTGTGGGCTCTAGTCGTGTGAAGATTTCGTACATAGGTACATATCTCTGTATCAGAAGATTGGATACTTAATACATAATAATTTCTGTAAATTCTTGGTAAAAATGTAAATGTGTGACTTTAAATTCGGTTTGGTTACAGTTTTAAATAATATCATTCGTGTCATTGCGGTTGAAACAAACTATAAAATAAAATATATTGTATTACTTAGATGTAAGATACGTATACATATCAAGAATTGACGTCATGACGGTCATGGCCAAGAATATCGAAAACATATCAAAGTTTTAGTATTAAGGCGAGCTATCAGCTCCTTTAGGAAATAAGGACGAAAGTTGCATATCATAATCATAGTGATAATATAAGTAAGCACAATTTGTTGGTTTTAGAATATTTATTATCACTTTATCAAAAAAGATTTTGGCCTCTTTTGGCATATAGCTATAGCTTACTATGCTTTTAAAGCCATTTATTTACAAAAAAAATCTGGTAAGTTTATGGATATGTTTGGAGTAGTGTTGCCGCGTGTTAGAGTCGATAGTCCAACTATCGATAGTTCGGCAACACTAATTTGCTGAGTCGAGAAAAGAAGGAGATTGGTCGTATCACTGATATACGATTTTACATAAATGTGAAAAGATTTGAAAGTATGCTGGCATAAATCTAATTGTTTTATTGACTCGAGAGTATACAAAATTATAAATTATACACTTTACATTCGTTATTTTTATATTGGCACACGATAAAATATGTCTTAGAGTTAAGTCAATTAGTACTATGCCAAAATATAATCTGGCTCTCTAAATCAACGTTAAAATTATTATTATAATACCGTTAGAAGTATGAAGAATGCTGTTTAAATGAATGTTAATAGTGTTCATGTATTTTAGCTGGAATAAGCAAACATTTTAACATGAACTATAGCATAGAAAATAGATTTAGTAAGTGTTTTGAGACGTAACAATGACACTTTAATGTTATTGTACGAGTAGTAGCATAAAAGAATGGAAAAAGCAGTTATGTTAATATTAGAAAAATATAATTTTGTTAATATTCGTGTAATAACTCAACTTATTTCCTTAAGGTACATAATAATATACGCCAAGCTTATAGCTGTAAATGTAGTTAAAGAAAATTATTTCTAAAGATCTCTGTTTTCAAAAATATTATACAATTAGATTAGAATATTATATCAATACAGGGTGTAGCGGACAGGTTGGTAAACACTTAATCTGGGAGCTCAGTAAATCACTCGCCTGTACTCATTTAATACATGTTTTTCCCGGATACTAAAAGGAAACAATGTATAAAGAAATGTTTCCATTGTAATGATGTAGAAAGATTATGTAAAGGCTTGTTACACATAAAATAAAATATGGTAAAACATCACAATACATAAAATATGGTTTTCAACTCGAGAGGAAATGTATGTGGTATTAACTTAGAAGGATTCCACTGTTCTATGTCAGCCATCTTGTCCATTACAGCCTGTATTTGTAAGGGTGTGGTAGTACTGCACGATGTTGTTTGCACCTAGTGGCTTTGTGATATTATATTTAGTTAATTAAATCGTTTTGTGATAAATTGAATAATTTTATTTCATGTTATTGTTGAATGTGAGTTTATAATGTTATTTTGTTTGTATTTGAATTATATTTGTGAGGAAAGTAAAGAACGGTTTGATATAATATGGCACGATTAATCAATTTAATTGAATATTGTTAAGTATTACAAATTGATTTTAGATTCAATTAATTTGTGTGAAAGAAATGCGCTGTTGATAAAGTACGTGTAATATTATGTATAAGGGTTTAATAAAATGTATGAAATTAATGTCAAACGTACTCGCACGGTTAGAATAGAAGGGATCTGTTCGGGTCAAACTAATTATAATATGAAATAAAATTAATCAGTCGTACCTTTATCGAAATGTCCAAAGCAGTGGCATTTTCACATATTTTGAACCTAATAAGTCTAAAAACAATAAAATAACAACTGTTTAACCTTCAAGCGGGCGCGCGGCGTCGAATCGACCGCGCCTAACACATTTTTGTTCATAACTTTTTTTTTACTTGTTACACATATTTCTCATTTTTAGTAGCCTGTCGTTTGCTCATTATGAGTGAAATAAAGAGCTTACCTCAGCTCTCCGCGCTTTTCCCACCCCATGGCTTGCAATTGTTTTAGTCGCGGCGCCGGCGTCGAAAGCACGCCACGCGCCTGTCGTCGAAAAGGTTACGCGCGACTCTCTATGCGATATAACATTTCTTCGGCTATCACTCAATATTATTGAATTAAGCTTGCAATACTGTTTTTTCTTATTAAATAAGTCGTAGACTGCTAGTACAAAGTGAAATAACAGAGGCATTACTAAGAAAAGATAAAAAAGAGAGTGAATCAGAGCTCCAGAGACCAAGCTAAACTGGACCAAAATTATAAAATTATGTTTTATCATTATTTTGCCATTTTTATCGTTTTTACCAGGTATATGAACTATTCAGAGGTAATTTAAAAGATTTTGTGTTCCAAAATTGGTTTTTTATTCAAAAAATATTTGCGTTATGTTAATTGATTAAATAATTGTTTATTTTACTTAATTCAAATTACTTTTGACTTTAATACAATCATAATATATCTGCGTACAAAATAATAAATGATTATTGGAAAATAAGTGCTTTATTTCTCAACTAGACCCTATAGGTCTTTTCGGTTACGCGCGACCGCTGCCGTTACAAAAGACCGCGCGCCCGCTTGAAGGTTAAATAACTTTCAAACTCTAGCTCGAAATTCAATTTACAGCGATGACCCGGACAGATGCAAGGTGCCAGAAACTTATTTGAACACTGAAATTATTATTTTGATCGCCATTTTATGATGCAGTTTTCCTTCAGTATTAAAATAAGTTCATGGCACTAGATATAGTATAGCTGATGGAGGCACACGGGCCGAGCCAGGCGAAAACGAAACATATCAGTAGATGTATCCATGTCAATTCAATGTTGCTGTCAATAAACTTTGGTGGAAACTACCGCTTCTTTTATTTTAAACTACCTTTTAATAAAATAATACATGGGAATTATGTTTATTCAAAGGAGCCGTTCTTTTCCTTCTATTGGGGAAGTCACGTTCACCAGATCACGGAACCATAGACAAGTTATATCAAGGTGATGTCCTAGACAATTTAAACAAAAAAAAATCTTATATTTGAGAGATCCAACTGGTAACTGGAAATAGAACCAAGGCCTTGAGAGGATCGGGAGGAGTCCAATAACTCTTCTACTGAACCAAAAGATAGGGGCAGATATGAAGAAAATGTTTCTAAATCATACTATTACACCACCACCTCGCTAGAATAAACCATATTATTTTACTTATACCGCCACCATATTCATATTGTACTAATCTACAATAACTTATCTTATAAATCAATCAAATAAAATACTGTATATTATAAAATTATTCATTTATTTATACTTCCGCTCTCATTCGTATTAAATTGATAAAATACATTCCGTACTTTGGGTTTCAATTAAAAATATAACTTCACTTAACAACAACGCGTCTCAACGTTAAAATTATTTACAATATAATACGTATCATCTTTTTGTTCGACTTTTTATTTTTCAATAACTAACAACAAAGTAACAAAATTCACTTACTTATTACACATTTTTAAAACAGGACTTCATTATTTTAGCTACATATAATATTTTTTTAACACCTTAATTCATTAACGAAACTTGTCTCTCAAGTATTTCCAAACCAGTAAAATGGTCAATTTTATTTTTTGGTGATTTACAAATGGCTACATGATAATACATGTACAAATATTTTTCAATTCAATATCAATATTTTGATTTTTTTATAGAATTTTTATAAAATACGTTATTTACAGCATGCAAAATAGAAGAATAAAAAATAAATCCGAACATATCTTAAAATGCAAAGTTCAGCGATGAAAAGATTTATATAAAAATAAGATCCATTTAATAGATCTACTACATTATAAATATTTAGAACATTTCATCTCAAATGTCTGGCTGGTTTTTATCTTAGCTATTAAGTATAATTAATTGACTAATTCTCTATTTCATTATAAGATTATTAAATGCGAAAACTATTAAATATATTAGCTATAACTGCCGATTGTTATTATTTATTACGCATTTTTGGGGTTTTTATTGACCGATGTAATTCTTCGTTGCACTTGTTCTAATATTATAAATATATTTTTAATATAAAAATAGTAATGTAACATTATATTTTTAACACTTACAGACTGATAAAATTAGGAATAAACAGTAATTCGTAAACCTAACAAGCTACCGTATAAAATAGGGTTAAAAAAGTTTCGTGAACGTACTAAAAATGGACGTAAATATTTCTTAGGAACTCAAATGAACAATTGATTTTTTTGACGGAAGAAAAAAGTATTTAAAATAAGTTGTAGTTGGTAAATCGCAAAAAAACAACAGTTGTGAAAATGTTAAGATTGGAAAAATCCACAAACAAAACGATAGTTTTGTGTTTCCAATATTTTTCGTAATTTCCACGTTATTATACTTATACATACATAGATGTGGTTTAGAGAACGAGACTTAATAAATGTTATACAACTTTGGTATAAGAAATTTTGATCTCAAGTACAGGATACGTGACAATCCATCACTGGCCTTTATAAAATTATAGCTACAGTTTAAATTGAATAAAGTCCTAAATATCATTAAAAATCTTTTTTTTATCGCAATTGTGCTCATCGCATGAAGTTTAAAAAACTTTGATATCTTTAAAATCCGTTATTATGATACTTCATAATTAAAATAAAATTTTAATAAAATCTGCTCGGTACGTTTTCGTCGATGAGCAACTCATTTGCATCATTACATTTATACAGTGTGAGTCACGTTAAAGTGTACATATGAAAATAGATGAAACTAGACCTATTTTTATCGACAAAAAAGTGGTCAAAATTTTTTTGAGATTTTTTTTTAATTTTTTATAGAATTTTTTTTCTTCCAGTTACTTATTGTAAAGAAAACGTAATAACTTTTAAACTAAGCTGTATATCCTGATAAAATAAAAACAGTAATAATGCTAAATAACAGGCGATACTAAAAAAATACATACAATACACAAAAAATGCCAATAAGTAATAAAAAATGATACTTTTTGAAAGAAATCTGCTTAAAAATTCGTGTTTTTTTGGTTATTTGATAAATTTCTCCAAAAAATGCCCCTATAACAGGTGGTTTTTATTGTTGTGTATTATTTTCTATCGTATTACCTTTGTAAAACCAAAAATTGCATGTCTCTATCCCTATCACAACATTTGCTATGATAGTTTGAACAAAGGCCTACCACAACATTATTCTCCTCTACAGGTAGGGACAATTTTAATTTTAACTAAAATGCTTATTTTACTTCGAAATCTTTTGTTTTTACTTGAAATCTAACTTGTCTTTATCAAAATTACAAATCTAGAGCCATTTTCAGTTTCGTTGTTATGCGTGAGGCAGCGGTGGCAGAAGTCGCGGCCCTCCTCGGACAGCACACTATGCGCCGGCAGCAGCACGCTATGCGCCGGCAGCTGTACTCACCATGAGGAAGTGGTGTGTGAGCAGCTGGTCGGCGCGGGCGCGCGCGTCTGGGTCATGCGTGAGGCAGCGGTGGCAGAAGTCGCGGCCCTNGTCGATAAAAATAGGTCTAGTTTCATCTGTTTTCATATGTACACTTTAACGTGACTCACACTGTATTATCCGCTCCGAATTTTGAGCTTTATTTCATTCATAAGTCTAGATAATGTAAACTAAATATGTATTTCATATTCATGCTACTCTTTTTTGATTTTTCATTTTAGCATGCTTCAAATATAAAGTTTATTTTGGAACAAACTACGAGAATATTCTACACCCGTTACATTCATTAATATAGTCTACACCAACTACTACTGGCCGGCTGCGGACGAGGTCTACGTTAACTACTGGAGTTAAAGTTAATATTCACGTGATGAGGAAGGCTGGCTCACACTTGCAGTCGTCGTCGGCTTTCACCTGCAAAATAAAATAATAATTTTAGAACTTTGATATTATAAATAATTATGACCCGGTGGTAGTTCTAAACAGCGTCTTATATCAATCATCAATAATACATAGCAGGCGGCAATAGCGCCTATTTAACAGCAGTAGTGCTTTTGGTGGCAGCAGTGGCGCTTTTCTGAGGGCAGTAGCGTGTTCCTATCAGCTGTAGTACGTTTTTAGCAGCAGTCGTGTGTTCTTAAATGCAATAGCACGATCCTAGCAGCAGCAGCGTGTTTCTAACGGTAATAGCACGTTACTTGCGGCAAAAGCGCGTTCCTAGACAGCAGTAGCGCGATCCTATCGGTAGTAGCGCGTTCCTGGCTGCACGGCACGGGAACAGCTGCTGTGCCTCCCCAGACGGTAGCAGTGCCTTTTCAGACAGCAGTAACAGCAGTAATAAGTACCATGAGGTTGAGCAGCTAGTCGGCGCGCGCGTCCGTTGGCGTCATGCGTGAGTAGTACCTTCTATACTGCTGTGCTGTAGTAGTACCTTTCCTGGCAGCAGTAGTTTCTTTCCTGGCGGCAGCAGTAGTTTCTTTCCTGGCGGCAGCAGTGCCTCCCCAGAAGGTAACAGTGCTTTTCAGTAGTAATGCTTTCCTTAACAGCAGTAATACCTACCATGAGGAAGTTATAGCAGCGAAGAGGCAGCAGCGCTTCCCTGGCGGCAGCAGTGCCTCCCCAGAAGGTAGCGACACTCACCATGAGGAAGTGGTGTGTGAGCAGCTGGTCGGCGGGGTCGTGCGTGAGGCAGCGGCGGCAGAAGTCGCGGCCCTCCTCGGACAGCACACTATGCGCCGGCAGCAGCACGCTATGCGCCGGCAGCTGTACTCACCATGAGGAAGTGGTGTGTGAGCAGCTGGTCGGCGGGGTCGTGCGTGAGGCAGCGGCGGCAGAAGTCGCGGCCCTNAGCAGCTGGTCGGCGCGGGCGCGCGCGTCTGGGTCATGCGTGAGGCAGCGGTGGCAGAAGTCGCGGCCCTCCTCGGACAGCGAGCCCGGCGGCTCGGGCCGGCCGCCCATGCCCACCACGAACATTATCTGGTAGTTGCTGTCGTACTCCGAGAATGGGCGCTGGAAGGAACAATAATTGATATAATCTCTTTGCCACTATGTTTGGGAGCGGCATGGGAAGGGTGACATTAGCATAATATGACGTGACACGGCATACAAATATGAAGTCTCGCTGACGTTTGGCCGTCACAAAATCACCCTCCAGTGCCGCGCAGTTTCCACGCTTATTGTGTAACGAAGTGGAATCACAGTTCTCCTAATGATTATATCAAATATTGCACTAGTTTAAAAAAATCTGTTTAAGGCTCAGAGAACAAGTCCACACGAAATTCGGAATCATCGTAAACTGTAATGACTTTTTTAGTTTCAAAGCGTTAGTTACCTTGCCCGAAGCCATCTCGGTGACGACACAGCCAAGCGACCAGATGTCGGCGGCGCGCCCGTGGCCTGACGACTTCATAAACACCTCTGGTGCCATGTACGCTGCAAAATTATTTATGTTTGCATTAAAAAAAATGGCAAGATATAAATGGTATAATGCATAAAAGTTGCAAGATATACTTGCAACTTTTTGTAGTTATATTATTAACTAGCTGACCCGGCGAACTTCGTACCGCCTTAGCGTAGAGATTTTCTTAATATTTTTTTCCGTAAGAACCATCCTTGGACTTCCACAAACATTTAAAAAAAAGAATTATCGAAATCGGTTCAGCCGTTCACACGTGATGCCGTGACAACGCGAAACGGGTTTCATTTTTATATATATAGATGACTTTAAATTTTATACGCAGCAGATTATTGAAAGAAAGTTACCAACATTACAGCATTAATATTTTTGTCCAGCACTAAGATCTTGCCTATATTATTGTCCTAAATTAACCACAAGGTTATTGGAACAGATGACTATTTTGTAAAAAAAAACACTGCGTAAAAATAAAGATTGAAAAAATCTGATTAGCCCAAGCGAACACGCAGTAATGCAAATCAATCAAGATTTTAAGCTTGAAAACATTTACTCAGATGGGACATGGACGCAGACCGCTACCAACCGGTCAACATGGAAATCATTGGGGGAGGCCTATGTCCAGCAGTGGACGTCCTGGCTGAAATGATGATGATGATAATGATGATGGGACATAAACCTACAACTGTGCGTGTTACCTTGCGTGCCAACGAAGCCCTGCAGCTCGCCGGGCGCCGTGGTATTGGCGCGGATCTTGACGGCGCAGCCGAAGTCACCTAGTTTCAGGCAGTGCCCTTCGTTGGTTAGGAAGATATTGCCACCTGTTCGTAAATAATTGGCATTAGTTAAATGCTGTTATCAGTTATTTTTCTATTATTTTTTATTTTTATCCACAACGAGGAAGCGGCATGTATCTCAAAAGATGGTAAATGATGATCAGGCCGAAGGTGGAAGCGAGTTTCACCCGGAATCCTCAACCACGGAACAACTGGCTATCTTACCTCTAACTGACGGAACACAACAATGCTGTTAACATTGTTGTTATGGCAATAGACTTAGGTAAGATGGTGGTAGCTAGCCAGGCAGACTTAGAACAAGCCCTACCACCAACTAAACCGAACAGAAAAATCTGCCCCCACTGGGAATCGAACTCGGGACCTCTGCGTCTGAAGCAGGTGGTCTTACTATAGACCACCTGATACTTTATTAGTATGTAGGTTCTTTTCAGGGCATTTAGGGACGTGTTAAAATATAGCTTGCCCTACGTCCACTTTGAGGCGACATATCAGCCTGTCATTACCAACATGACAATAGTGACTGAGTTTCTTGCGCTGCTTCTTCTCAGCACTGGCCCATTTATTGTCCCGAAGCAGTGGTAGGGTTAATATTGGGACGTGTAAACGCGCTTTTTTAAAGCCTATTTGCAAAAATAAATGAATTTCATGAATTTTATTTTACAACATGATCAGATCATTATGGGCGTAAGTTGACAAACTGGTTTCTACATAGTAGGGCGTTGGGCCTTTTCGGGTGGAAATCGACTCGTAGCCCACGGGCTAGTCGTAGAAATCTGTGGGTGGGGGAGACGTTGGGTTTAAATAAACCAACTCACTTTTGATGTCTCTATGGGCAATATTCCTCGCGTGTAGTTCAGCCACCGCGCTGAGAAGCTGCTTGGTGTATCGCCGTGTGGTCTGCTCCGCGAGCGCGCCAGATGTCGCCACCAGCGCTTCTAGAGAACCCTCCACGCAGAGCTCCATGAAAATCAGCATTTCCTCCTGTGGAATAAACAATATTGTATATTATATGAAAAGGAAGCGCTATAGTAAAGGTAGACATGCCTCTGCGCCTTTCTTTGGCGTCTTGACGGAGGCAATACCGTGTCCTCAGGATTGAACGTCGAACAAATTATATGTATGAATTCAACTTTTCCTGGTACAATATCTAAGGCCCGGTCCGTGAGCACGTAGAATTTTGTCCAATGACCCCTAGCTACCCATCCTTATCGCTCGCGCGTAATTATATTGCTGTCGCGACTGTGCGTCTGGCACTCGCAGTGAGTGTGCGAGCGTGATAGCAACATAATTACGCGCGAGCAATAAGGATGGGTAGCTTGGGGTCATTGGACAAAATTCTACGTGCTCACGGACCAGACTATAGAGAGATATAAGACGAGAAGGGGAGCGGATAGATCAGGGAGAAAGAGCAGAAAGGGTAAGAGAGAGCAGAGAAAGCTAAAGTTTCTTATAATTGTATTACTTGCTGTTGGTGTCCTGAACAAAATAAAGAGAAAGCGATGAGAGGGAGAAAGTAAGGGTAGAGCGGGAGACTTGAGAGAGGAGAAAAGTAGAGCAAGGAAAGAGGGAGAGAGGAAGATGTTTATGTTCCACTCACCCGATGCACTTCGCAGCCGTAATAGCGGACAAGGTGCGGGTGTATGACGCCTTCTAGCACGCGCAATTCGTTGGCAGCGCGCTGCAGGGCGCGGCGGTCGCCTGCACCTATGCTTAACTCCTTCATGGCTAGCAGCTGCCCGCTTTCCGTGTTCACTACTGTGTACACCTGGGAATATAAGACCAGAGTTATATAAAAAGTTATATATACTTTTGATAAAACATAGAGAACCCAACGTAAATTATTAGCACATTAAATTGCACCATTTGAGTAACAGCGGGTTATTCACCAATAGAATTGGTGCTGTCACGAAAAGACTAACCAAATACTGTATGAATATTTTCTGTAAACTATAATTATTATGTAGATATGTTTATAGTCTTTTTCACGTAAGATGATTCGTATGACGTTTCGAGTTTGAAAGATAAAGAGATGTCACATAACTAAACCATAGCGATTTATCTATCGATTTTTTTCTAAGAGTTAGTAAACCTACTTTTAGAGAAATATTGTGTATAGGTGTTATTTAACAAAAAACATGTTTTTTTTTTAATTACAAATATTATTGTAACATTTTTTTATTGATAATATTCAAATTCCATGTTGTTGTCAGACATCTTTGTATCATAAAATCAAAGCCGTAGCCGGGCCATTCCTCTTCTTGTAGATACTAAGAAATCAATAAATAGTTCAGTATTTATTATTGTCAGAAATACATATAAGAATAGAATAGAATAGAAAGTGGCAGTGGAGGCACATAGCTCGTAGAGCTGATGACCGCTGGGACAGAAAAGTTCTCGAGTGGCGACCACGAGCTGGAAGACGACTACGTCTTCCAGACGAGTACCCACACTAGTGGGCAGGCTTCCCGCCTGGGTGCAGGCGGTGCAAGACCGGTCTTTGTCTGTTTACCCCACGTACCTTGCCGAAGGTGCCGGCGCCGATCTTCAGTCCGCGCTGCCACTTGAAGGTGAGCTGGCGCAGCTTGGGCTCGTAGCTGGCCACGGCGCGGTCCATCACGCGTCCCACACACTTCATCTCGCACCGCATTCGTCACGCGTATCTTCTAAGTAAGCCATCACGTACCTTGCCGAAGGTGCCGGCGCCAATCTTCAGCCCGCGCTGCCACTTGAAGGTAAGCTGGCGCAGCTTGGGCTCGTAGCTGGCCACAGCGCGGTCCATCACGCGTCCCACACACTTCATCTCGCGTAGCTTCGCGTCGCGAGTCTCTTCTATTTGACTGACGGCATCTAGCACGCGTTGGCTGTGACCTGACAATAAACAACAAGGTAAGAGGATAGACGCAACTGAAGGCAGGCCGATAATGGCTGATTTAACTACTAAAATACTGTTAATAGTCAAAGTTTAATAACGATAACCAAGAAGATTACAAATATCCTGTTCTCTAAAACGAACAGATCTTTAAATGACAACTGCCTTCACTGATGTCTTCCATGAACAATAAAATAAAAATTCATAAAATTCATTTAATTTTGCAAATAGGCTTTAAAAAAGCGCTTTTACACGTCCCAATATTAACCCTACCACTGCTTCGGGACAATAAATGGGCCAGTGCTGAGAAGAAGCAGCGCAAGAAACTCAGTCACTATTGTCAGCCTCCTTTTCCAGGTTTTACAATATGACTTTGAAGTTATAATTAGGCATTTTAAATAGGCACCAATCACCTACTACTAGATCATCTCTTCATGGTGCATACTAAGCAGCAAATGAGATTGAGGCCAAATACTATGTCGTCACCTTTTCGTAAAGGTATCCTCACAAGCCAGACTTCTTAGTATGGCTTGTGATGGTAACTTAAACACTGGGGACGTCCTCCCACAAGGTGGACCGACGACCTGGACTCATAGAGGTAGCAGGAAGGTATTGGATGTAGGCCACTACCAATCGGTAATTATGGAAATTATTAGGGGAAATGAAATTAAATACATGGTCCTTTCCAGGGCACTTATACACGTCGGTGTAGGCTGGTGCTGAGAAGAAGTGGCGAAAGAAACGCAGTCACCTTTGTCAGCCTCTTTCAATCCAATACAGTAGTTCATAGGTTACATGAGGCCTATGTTCAGCAGTGTGTGTCTGCTAGCTGAAATGATGCTGATGATGATGATTTTTTTTATGCTAGATCTTCTTCTTGTCGTGTCGACAACAAACCTACACAGCGTCGGCCCAAAACTCCGCCACAAGAATGGCGTTGTCAGTAGCCTTCATTAAATTTTCCTGGGTGCAGTTGTTTGGGCACGCAGGGCATGACATCATGTGCTTCGTCAAAAACAAAAACACACCTGCACTCCCAAGTTTGATGATGATGAACTTGAACACTTACTTTGCACCTCCATTCCTTGGAAGCTGAGCAGCGAGTCAGGCTCACTCGGCGGCGTGTGCGGCGCCGGCGCCTGCGGACTGCCGGGCGACGGGCTCTGCGGACAAAGGAGCAGTCAGCGCGAGACGTCAGAGGCCTGTGCCCCGATTGCGCTAAATATTTTCAACTACAACGCGACTATTATAGTCTGGTCTGCGAGCACGTAGAATTTTGTCCAATGACCCCAAGCTACCCATCCTTATCGCTCGCGCGTAATTATATTGCTGTCGCGACTGTGCGACGGGCGCCCGCAGTGAGTGTGCGAGCGCGACAGCAACATAATTACGCGCGAGTGATAAGGATGGGTAGCTTGGGGTCATTGGACAAAATTCTACGTGCTCAGCGACCAGACTATAGACGACGAACGAAAATCACAAATTCGTATCGCGGTGTCGCTTTGCCAGCTAGTTCAAACGAAAACAAAACGCAACTGCTTCTTCGTATTAAAGCTGAAAGAAAGCTACTTTTTCTCAAACTCAAGTCAAACGCCATCACGAACATTTGCTGTGTTTTAGTGGAAAAATAAGGTGTTGGGACTTTTATTGGAAAGTGATTAAATCCGTTGTTTCGTCTTTGTTTGCGCGTGAACTTTTGCTGAAACTCAGCTGTAAGAAACGGAGCGCAATTAGAGAAGAAGCGCCAATGAATTGGAGACGTTAAAAATTAGCGCAATCGGGGCACTGAGCGAAATATGACCAATGTAACGGTTATATTATATACAGGGTGTCCCGTAAATGTCTTAGAAATAATAATGCTTTTAGAAATATGCATATTTTTCTTATTATTCTAAGTAATATTTTAAAATTTACCGTTAAAATAGATATTGTTGCAATAAATCCCGTGAAGTGATAATTTTATTCTAAGTATACATACAAATTCAATCGATTGTTTGATAACTTTGTATAGGAAGACGAGTTATTTTTATGCTTTGCAAAAGAACTAGGTCTTGAAATTGAATAGTTTCATTACAGAAATTCCCTATCTTTTGTATATGAACACCTTATAAACTATGTTATCTGTACTCCAACTAGTTTCACCATACCATCCCTTGAAAAGCATATGTTAGTAACTACCACTTCGCGGATGCAGCTACACCTCGCGAGGCGTCGACCAATCTGTACGAGGCGCGCCATCTGTCGTAAAAACCATCGCATTGATAACTATGAGGTTAGTTTGACTTTAATTTAGCAAAACATCATCCCAAGCATGGAAAGCTTACCGTGAGTTGGTTTCGTTCATGTAGCGTAAGCTGGTAGTCGACTTCGCGAATGGTATACTTATGATATACCTTAATAGCCGCGAAAATCTTTTAAAATGGGTATTTTTGGCGCGTAGTTATTTTCGTTGTCATAATGATTTTTTATGAAACTTTAGACAAAATACTTTCTGTTCCGTGAACCTAATTTATGAACCTAGCTAGATGAATATAATAGAAAAAATATTTTTTCCCACTGAAAAGTAAACATACAAGCCCAACGACGTTTAGTTGTCCGTTATATTCTAAGTTATTAGTTTACGCCTGTATTCACTAACGATGCTTGCTTAAGTGAAGCAGCAAATCGAACGCACAGCGTTAAATAGAGCTCTGTGATTGGTTCGTGTGTCACCCTGTCACCTCATAGTAATGTTTGTGAATACGGGCGTAAAACATATTTGACAACAAAACACTTTTTGGCATATCCCACTCCGAATGTAAACCACAAGACAAGTAAACGTATACTCACGTGCAATCGCACGCGCGCGCGGGGCGTGTGGGGCGTGTGGGGCGTGTGCGGGGCGTGCGCGTCGGGCGCGCGCGGGGCGGCCGGCCGCGACCCCACCACGTGCGAGATGCAGCCGTCCATCAGAGACTTTAACTCCTGGGGAGTACGTGACATTTTATTTGACGGAGGAAATAGGCAGAATACAAGACTTATGAAGACGGATGGAAAGAAGAGAAGGATTACCCTTCTGAGGAAAAGTGAACCTACTTTTTCTTTGTGCCATCCACAGAAAGTTAAAGGTGTAAGTATTCATCATCATCATCATTTGCAACAACACAACACAACCTATTCTGCCCCTTTGTTTTTTACGAGATTGTAATAATAAATAGAATCCATTATTGGCTGTAAGAACAAAAATACCTGTTTGCATTATTATTATTATAAAGGGCTGTGGTTTTCTGAATAAAGAAAAATAAAATAAAATTTCAGCCACAGGACGTCCACTGCTGAACATAGACCTCCCCCAATGACTTCCACATCGCACGGTTGGTAACGGCCTGCATCCAGTGTAAGTATTAAATTACTGTATTTTAAACTCATTGTTACCTCAAACTCTTCCTCAGTCAAATGTTTAGTGTTACAAGGATCACAGGCCAGCATAAGGAACTCTAGCCCTTGACTCGCCCATCTGTAACGTAAATGTAAACATTTAAAAACTTAGTGACAATACGTACTTGCTAATGCTTACTTTCTTTGAGAAACTTAATAATAAGCTGAAGAGTGCGCTGCTTTCCACTGCACCGTATTGAAAGTGTTATAAGAAAACGAACTGGAAATAGATTGTTTCCCTTAATGTCACGGAATTATTCTCACCTCTCGTTTTCATCGATGCCACTCCTGTATAGCCAGGATCTACAGCTTGACCGCTAATAAAAACACAACCAGCGAAGGTCAAGTTTGTCCCGGGGGGGAAAGTAAAATTTCAGCCAGTGGCAGTCCAATTTCGGACGAAAACTTCTTCCAAGGCTTTATTCTTTCAGCCATTACCGTCTTAAGATCGTCAATTCAGCGAAGGACAAAGGCAGTCGCATTTGCAACGCACTACAGAAGTGATGCCGACGCGTTACCAGGCCTGTTCATCTCCGCGAGTTTACATTGAAAACAAAACACGCACGATGGCCCACCTACAGGATACGATTCGACAAGGCCTCACATATGAGCGAACATTGACTCACGCACGCGTATTCTTGTGTATGATGGAAGAAAATGGTGTACTAAATACTGTGCAGTATTTAACTGCCTAAATAATAATAAAAACACAGAATGTACTTTTTTAAGTTGCCTCAAGACACTGTAAATAAGTAGTTAATATATTCATGATAATTCATGCTAAATCATGTATTTCGTCCGCCATTTTCCGCACGTCACATCATTATACCGAAGTCAGCCCTATAGCTTCGGCGCAGTGCCGATCACTGACGTTTGTCAACAAAATGGTGCTTACTCTTGAGACAGGCTAAATTATACCATATTGTTAATGACATTGAGCATAATTTTTTTTAAATACCTTCGCGAAGTAAAACTTCTGTACGTAGTACTTATTATTATTCTGTGGCGTTACTAACGCGCTACAACAGCGCGACTGCATCGCTACAAAAAGTCGTCGTGGGCGAAGCGCGCTTTCACATTAGGGCGTTAGAAGTGCGACAGCAGCGCGGCAGCGGCGTTTTTGTAATGTGAAGGGAGCCATCAGTTGTCACATGGTGTGAAATTTTTGGCAGCGCGTCTGTCGCGCTGCTACATCGCCTAAATGTGAAGTCTGTAGTCCGGTCGCAGAGCACATGGAATTTCGTCCAATGACCCCAAGCTACCCATCCTTATCGTTTGCGCGTAATTATGTGGCGCCGCTAGTGTGGCGCCGGTAGCGGGACTCACCGGGGCCGCAGCCCGCGCCCGCGGTCGCAGCGGCGCACCACGAAGTGCATCCAGCAGCGCGCGAACTGGATGACGGCGCGCGCCACCGCCCACTGCTGCTCGCGCGCCTCCAGCCGGCGCCGGTAGCGTGGCGCCGGTAGCGGGACTCACCGGGGCCGCAGCCCGCGCCCGCGGTCGCAGCGGCGCACCACGAAGTGCATCCAGCAGCGCGCGAACTGGATGACGGCGCGCGCCACCGCCGCCGCCCACTGCTGCTCGCGCGCCTCCAGACCGGCACCTGAGGCCGATGCCGCCGGTGTCGCTGGCTCAAGCTGCCCATCATCGCCTGAGAGGAGACGCTCGATCGGCGTCTGGGGATAGAAAATGCTTATGTAGATACTAAACTCTAGAGAAAAACGATATGAAGGTCGCTAATCAAAATCGAAAATATTTTATTCAGTTTATACCACAAATCACATAAACTGAATGGAGATGTGACAAGGGGACATGGCCAATATCATAATATATCCGTTTGTACAATTGTTTGTTATCCCTAATATAATATAAAATATGTCCCTATTGACCATAAGCAAAAAAAATGACCCAAAAAAGTAAAAAAATGCAGTGTTAAAAAAAAAAAAACAAATCAAATCGTTATAGCCAAAAAGCTGATGTCATATTGACATTGACATAATGTCAATGTCACACAGAAACGTCAGATTGGAGGGACGCGCGTGGTTTTATCGCCGCGCTTTTGTGCTAAGTGATGACATTGTATTTAAAAATGAGGCTTTGTAATGTGAAAGTTAAGTATCCAGTGTTTTGTTTATGAGAATAGATCTACTGGCCTCTAACAATAGTAAAAATTCGTAGGATTTAATTTATAGGCAGGCAGTACAAACTCACATAGCTCTCGCCGTAATTGAGCGTGTCGAACAGCCGGTCGTCGAACACGGCGTCCTCGTTGATGCTCTCCGACCGCGTGAAGCGGACGCGGCCCCGCGGGGGTGAGGCGTGCGGGCGGCGGGCGGCGGCCGCGCGCGGCGTGTCGTGCACCACGCGGTGTAGTTCCTTGTGTATCTGGAAGGAAGCGGGGCTTTAGTGGCTGGTAGAGGTTGAGACCATCAGTGGGTCTAGACAAAGTGCAAATTATAATCGCAAACCAGTCGAAAAGTGGTCGAAAAGCCCCTTTTTTGTATGGAGTTTTAACGGATTCGATTTTCGATTCGATCAAAAAGTGCGTTTTGTCTAGGGGGGCAGGGCTTTTAATTTAGACGTTTAGTGCCGCGCGCCTGCCGTGCGTTTGCAGGACCGCACACGGTAAATTGTATGACAACTGCGTCGGATTAAAATTGACAATTACCAATAGTTAGTGTGCGGTCTTGCCAACGCACGACAAACGCGCGACAGGTGTCGGACACGAAACTTCTAATTTGAAAGCGCCCTCAGGCTTCTCCAAAACGCTTGGCAAGCTTGGGCATCCTCCAAATACGTCTGGTAAATAAGAGAATCTTGCTCCTGCAGTGTATTTATTTATTTATGTAGGAAAACCATGGTAGATGACCATGATACTATAGAGTTTGATGCAAAAAGACAGAATAATTGCGATAAAGCGATTTAAGAATATGAATATTTTTTCTGTAAGTAAGTAGACATGGATATTGGTGGTAAATTGATTTTTATAGCTATTTTAAATATCATATTTTCATCATGACGCTGGACCCATGTAAAAGGTCTACAGCGTCGGACACAAAAGGTTACAAAGAAGAATCACTTACATAAAACATATTTTTCAGTACAAATTAAAAGCACAACCAAAAAAAAAACAAGTACCTGTAAGCAAACAAAAAAGCAGAACACTGATCTATTCGTGAATATTACAAATGAAGTACCACAACAGTTTATCACACAGTTATCACTCATCCCTTCAAGTTCACACTTGTATAAGAATGAACTTTTCCCCGTAAGCCACACTACAAAAAATATTTTTAATTACACAATCTGAAAAATACAAATGAACATATGAAAAATATTTTGACACAAACACAATGTCACTAAAACCAAACCAGGAAGCATTGCACCATGTACCACTGCACTGCACCACCACAAAACGTAGACAAAAGCTGGAGGCACCACGGCTCTGTGCTATGACCATCTTACCTTGGATTGAACCGAAAGGGGATTATGCGTCAGATAGAAAATCGTTTCATATAATAGGCATGTTGACACCATGGCTAATCCATTGCATATTTTATATAAATACTTTTGTAAACATTTAAAAAGGCTGACAATCGGTGAGAGAGTTTCTTGTGCTGCTTCTTCTCAGCACTTGTTCACATTGTCCCGAAGCAGTGGTAGGGTTTAAATGGGACGTGTAAAAGAGCTTTTAAGGGTCTAATCACAAAACATAATTATGACTTTTAAGACTGGCATACTTTTAATAACTGTCAAAATGATGATACACTCTTGTACTTTATTTTCTATACGAGTATTTATAGAAATTTAGGCTTTCAAAATGAAACTTATTACACTCTATTTTAGTAATAATTACTTCGGGAGTTTCTTGCGCTGCTTCTCTCATACTGGGACGTGTAATAGTGCTTTAGAAAAGCTTACTTGCAAAAATAAAATGAGTTTTATAAGTAACTAGCGGCTGCTTGCGACTTCGTATGCGTGGATTTCATTTTACCCCCTTACGGGTTGAATTTTGCAAAGTCCCGTCTTAGTGAGCACCTACGTTCTAAAAGGAACCACCATGCACTCCTAGCACTTGTAGTTTCACTTAGGAAAAGGCAGGTATTTGACCGCAATCGCACCTGGTGTTAAGTGAGATGCAGTCTAGGATGGTACATATCTGCCCTGTAAGTGCCTATTCACTCTCGCCTTGAAAAGGCCCGGTTAGGTTAGTGAGAGTCAGTGACCTTTCGCTTAGATATAGATTCATTGTGAATGGTGTCAACATCCCTATCTCATAACACATCCACAATATACAGTTTGACACCACACCCCTATAATTCGAAACCACAACTTTTTTTAAAAGACCCTTTATTCTGGTCTTAAAAACTTAATTAATTTTAAATTACCTGTAAATTACGATTTTTGTTCGCATTGTAATTGAAAAAAGTAGTTTGATTGAGTTGACAAAATAGTGACGTCACTTGCTTGTAGTGCCATACAAAATCTATGGGAGAGTTTCGTTTTGACAGTTTTAAAAAGTATGTCAATTGATTGGTGGTGTCAACATGTCTATCCACTTCAGTTCAAAACAAGTGCCGCAAACCGCAATCCAACTGAAATCCTACCGAGGGGTTAAAGGTCTCGTTGACGATGATGGTGTCGGGGCGCCGGCGGGCCCCGGCCGCGGGCGCGCGGCGAGGCGGCTGCATGGACGCGGGGCGCCGCGGGGCCCGCTCGATGGGGCTCCGCGCCACCAGCTTGAACAGCTCTTTGTGCAGCTGTGGATAGAAGCGTGCTGAGCATGCGAGCGAGGGTGGCTTATAGTTAGTGTAAGCACAGAATAATAATAAATACTACGTACAGAAGGTTTTCTTCGCGAAGGCATTTAAAAAAATGTATTTTCTAAGAGATAACTTGGTATTGTCATTCTCACTAAAATATCTCTGGGGTGGTGGCGTAGTGAGGCGGGTCGTTACATTCCCTCTAATATGGTCGAGTGAAGCGATGGCTGGTTCACTCGTCATGTCTGTGAACAGGCGCTGCTTTCGGGGACTGGTCAATCCAAGTTATTCAAATTTATGTATGCGAGTCATTTCTACTAGTGTCTTAATATGTAAGACAGGGTCAACTAATGCAATGATACGAAATCTCAAAAATTGGCTGATAGACTGCTGTATCTACAACATTAATGACTTTTTTAATGACCATTTTGCATGCTAAAAATGTTAGCAGAATAGTAAGCACTGTGTAAATTATATTATAAGACCTCATATGTAAAATACCTATTCTATGCAATAAATGTTTGAATTTGAATTTGAATAAGTCTAAACAAATAAATAAATTTTGACTTTGACTTCTTGGCGGGAATCTGAAGCGTCATGTTAGCGGTTTTGTTTTATTTCCTCAAATTCGCGTTTGGGCGGCTATTGATGTGTAATAATGGTGGATTATTAACCATTAAGTGTTCGTGAACGTGCATGAGTGTGGGCGAAGCAAAACAGTGCATCGTGATTCTTCTGGTTCTCTCAAGTTGTCCATAGGAGGTCTCAGTAAAGCACCACAACTTTACTGAGACTCAAAGGGTGAGAAGGGGTATCATCTATCATCCTTCATTATATCATTACTTGATCTCATTTTGTAACTCGTATCACATAAATACTTGAAAATGGCACAAATCAAGTCGACCTCGACGTGTATTGCCAACATCATCAAAAAAGAAGAAGGGACAAGGACGTAGATAAAATAACACCTCCCGCGATTCGGCCAGTATAACCGCCAGGTTGGTATGGCCATGGGTGGTGGTGGGTTGTCCCTATTAAAAGTTAGTGTAAGTTAGTGGAGCTTGGATATTTAACCTGAAAAAAAGTTCAGTGGCCTAATTCACGTATTTTGACACAGTCAAAATCTCGTTGACGTTTAGAAGTCGTCCTATTGAAAAACAGTTCTAAATCCGTATTCACAAGGCTTATTTCGATAGAATGATTACTCGATAGGATCGCAACTCAGCGATTTGTTGTCGTTGAAGTTTTGTTACGTGAATAAGGCTACTGGTTTATATGGGGACTTAAGGGAGAGTCCGCTAATTTGGACCAGTTTTTCTTAATCACATTTTACACATAGTTTTCTTTTGTTTTTGCTAATGTCCATGGTATATAATAAAAGATACATTATTCAACTTACTATTTCATAAGTATTAATTAACATGATTGTTGTATATTTAGCACAAATCAACAAAGTACGAGTTCAGAGCTTCGGTCCAATTTAGCCAACCGGTTCGATAATTTGTACCACAGGGTTACTAAATTGGATTTCAATAAATTTCAAGCCTATAAAAAAACTATGGCAAAATATTATACGATACATTCTTAACAAATTAGGAAACGAAAAGGAACAGTAGTTAATAACATAGACAATCGATATTGTTTTACACGTTATCACGATTTTGAGTACAAGTTTTGTAATTCCAATTATCGTAACGCACACTTGTACCTAATCTACTTTGCCAGTCTTTTGCTTTCATTTATTGTTAGTCAAACATAACTACGCTATTATAATTACAAAATATGGTTTACTAAAAAAAATTTCAAAATCCTTTGGTAAAGTTCCATACAACTTGATGTGGTACAATTTAGCCGACTAGGTGATAGTGCTTTTAAAAAAATCGGTAAAAAATATAGCTTATAAATACCGAAAAATGTTTCAAATAATTGTAATCCACACTAATTTACGCTTCTAAATAATATATTAGAAATACCCTATGATTAAATTTAACAAAATTACAAACTAAACATGTATTGTCAAAAGTTACTTGAAAACAATGAAAAAATACTTTTCAAAATAAAACACACGTGTTAATTGTCACGGCAAAAACCACATGGCCGATATTAATTGATTTTAGTTGTGTATCGCTGAGTGTTGCAATTACAGACATTCAATAAATACTTTACGAAATATGAGGGTGGTACAATTTACCCGGCGGTACAATATACCGAACTCTCCCCTAAATGCTAAAAAAAAAGCTAATTGGCATCGTTGAAAGAATCTAATTATGAAGAACTTTAAGTTACAGACCTTCGTAAATGTTAGAAGCTTTGATATGTGTTTCGAGTCTTCTAAATATACCTACTGTTTTACCTGTCGTGTCTGGGTACTCTACTATAAAATTAATCTTACCTTCAATAATAGCTCTTCGTAAATGTCCGGAGCTTTAATATGTATTAGTTAGAGTATGCTTTCTAGAGAGCATTGTTCCTGTGTTACTCGTCGTTATAACTGTCGTGTCAACTCTACAATAAAGTAGGGTGAACAAAAATGTACCCTGGGGAAGTTTCTAGGTTACAAGTACAAGTAGAGAAGTTTTGGGACTTACTTGGCCAACGCTGCCGGTCGACGCTCTTCATCGATCGAAGCTCTTATCATAACGATATAAGACAAGTCCGGTCGCCGAGCAGATAGAATTTCTTACCATGAACCCAAGCTACCCATCCTTATCGCTCGCACGTAATTGTATTGGTGTCGCGCTCGCACACTCACTGCGGCCGCCCGTCGCACAGTCGCGACAGTAATATAATTACGCGCGAGCGATAAGGATGGGTAATGGACAACACGCATAAGTTGTAATATTAAGTTAAATTATGACTTAATTTAAAGTTTAGATCACACACATTACACTAGTTTTTATTTCACCTCAATCCATCCAGTATTACCGAAGTTAGAGCCTCGAGAAGTTTACGGACATTTTAAAATTTTCAAAAATTTCCAATATTCGCGAGTGACGTCACAACATGATTTTGCAGCCCCTGCACGTTAACCCATTTACCACTTATTGTCTTTTTCCAACTAAAATAAAATTTTACCTAACTGACAACTGTTGTTAGTTGTCATCGTTCAATCACATTTCAAACTAGGCGCTAAAAAAGTAGGTAACCATTATTATGCCACCTATTGCCAATTTTGTGCACTATGAAGCCATTTTTACATTTATGCACTTAAATATAAATTTTCTGGAAAAATAACCAAGTTTGTGTCTCTGTGCTCAATAACGAGTAAATAGTCCAGTTATTTGTTAATTTTACTTGGAAAGTTTTCCGGAATTTTTGAAAATTGGTGAATAAATAGATTTCGCTATGTTGGATGTCTGGAAGTTTAAAATAAAGTAATGTTTGTTTGTCACCAACATAACAGATAATATTATTATGATAACAAACAATCAGGAAAAACAAAAAGTAAGAATGTTGGTGGGTTGATACCTGAACTAGGAAGATTCCTGTGTCTCAGGTTTGTTACTCTTTCTTGCAAAAACTGACCGACATAGCACGCAGAATTGATAAAATCAAGTGGCAGTGGGCGCGACACATAGCTCGTAGAGACGATGGCCATTGCGGCAGAAAATTTCTTGAGTGGCGACTACGGCACGGGCTGGAAGACGTAGCATGGGCAGGCCTCATACTAGGTGGACCGACGATCTGGTAAAGGTCGCGAGAAGTACCTGAATGCGGGCAGCGCAGGACTTTTTATTATGAAAAACCCATGGAAAACCCAAAGGCCTCTCGCCTTTGTCCAGCAGTGGACGTCATTTGGCTGTAACGACAAAATAGGAAAGTAATTATCAAAAATCTTCTCTAAGGCAGCATTTTTCCAATTTCGCAACGAGTGCGGCAATCACACTTAACTAACAGACTAACAGAGAGCATAGTGAAATCTATTTTAATCACCAATTTTCAAAACTCCCGGATCACTTTCCAGGTAACCACGTTAATTTGTACCAAACGACTGGACTATAATTTAATTGATCTAAAAATTTGGGTAGATCTTCTCAAAAACAAAAGAACTGGTGCTAAAAGGGTTAAGTGACGTTTTGACATTTGTAGAGGGCCTTGTAGAAGGGGAGGCTATGGTGCTGAATGTGGATTAACTCGAGTGTCATAGTAACTTATTAGGCTGCTAAGCTTGATGATAAAACGAAAAAATATTTTTTCAATGTAAATAGACTGTTCATAATTTTATTGTATGTGTAGTGGACGCATAAAGAAGTCCGAACTGCAGTTGTCACGTTGCATTGGTGCGGCTACGCGCCAAAGCAGATTTTCGTTGTGCTGAAAAAATTTAGTTTATCTTTTCATTTAATGATAGGTATAGGTGTACCAGAATCTCACGGCAAACAAAAATATTGGAAAAGTGTGTCTCTCATATGGCAAATGTCTATGGCTTTATTGACACCTGTCAAAGTAAATCAAGTGAACTGTCAGTCGCTGCAGAAATTTTGTGATCTCTTCATGCCTATTTGTTATTTTTGTGAAAAAGTCAAAAAAGCTCATGCAAGTCATATTGTTTTCAATGTGTATTGTAAAATAAGGCATAATTCAAAGTCAATCTTTGATTTTAAAGCGCGTCGTTGAGTTGACAATAAGTTGGAGTGAAATTTGATACATTTAGTTTATTACCTAACTGCGTCAGAAGGAGGGTTTTTTTTAAATATTATTCTTATAATAGCTGCTTTATCGGGGGTTTCAGGTGTACCTCACAAATTGGTGCAGAGGAATGGTGAAAATGTTATGACCATGTAAACAAAATTGAAAAAGATTTCATCAAACAAGATAGGATAATTGAAATGCTGGAAGAGCAATTTGCTAAATCGGTTCAGCCGTTCTTGAGTTATAAGTGGAGTAACTAACACGACTTTCTTTTATATATATAGATACCTCTTTATCTTGATCACCTATGATATGCTGAGCCTCATCCTTTTGCCTCTTATGTTTTTTAATGTAATTTTTTTGTTTATATTTCTATGTTTGTAAAGCATGTAAAAACGAGGCAATAAAGTATTATCTTATCTTATCTTATCTATTGAAGAAAAGTGGAATCCTTGGAATCGTTTTCTAGTTCTGAATGAAGTGATTAGTTATAAGTATGATACATAATAAAATTAGTTACATAAGGTAATATACGATTTACTTATTTTTCAAGACATTTTCCTATTGTTATTACTGACGGGATTGCTACCATGTACCTTAGTTTTGAGTTTCCAATATTTCGGCACTGTTGCAAGCGCTATGGTAACGGAGTAACTGAAGAAATTAAAACCAGACATCGTTCAGATGTGCGTTCAAAAGACCTGAGATTTAAAGTCTTTATCAATGAAGAAGCAGAAGTTCAATTTCATGTGTCCTCCATCTAGGCTAGTATCCATCGTCACTCAAAGTTTGGCTGCGGTCTCAAATTTGGGCTTAATTGAGGTATTTTTTAGGTGAGAGGCATAAGAACTAATGCCATTTTATATAAAAAATTCATACTTAGAGGTACTCAACCAGGTACAAAGTATTTCCTTGTATGTTAGTCTGCCACTCTTTAGTAAGTCCCGAAATCCCCGCTTCGGCTCCCCTACTAACCATTCTAACCATTGTACACAGATAATATCTTACATGCAGCTTTTCATGTTACTACGTCACATTTTCAAAATCCGCGCGGAATATCGCTCCTAGCGGAAGAGCGCACTTTGAGCTTGAATATTTCAGTCATTTTTGAAGATATCAAAAAAGTAAAAATACAGTATTCATTCTAATTTTTTGTAGTTTTTTTTGGCATCTTCAACAAAAATTGTGCGCCATGTCCATTAGAGTTCATTGTACGAAATTCAATCTGCACGTCGACCGGACTTTGTTCAATGTTTTTGGACAATGTTCTGCTTTATGTGCCGTATCCAAACGCAGCTCACCTCGAAGCCCAGCTTGAACATCTGCAGCAGCATGACCCGCACGCGCGTGACCAGCCCCTCCGTCAGCTCCAGCTCCTCGTCCGGCACGCTCGTGCGGTCCAGCACCATGTATGTATGCTGCACTAGGAACTCCCGCATTGACAGCAATTTGTTCTGAAAAACAATTAATATGAGATTAAATTGGATAACGGTCAATGCGAGGTGACAGATCACGTTCTGAGTAGCTTGACACCATCTAGATACCTGAGCTACACGACTTGCTTCAACGAGCACTTCGAGCCCTTTGACTCGTGCACCAAACCGAGAACTTTCATAGTCGGGTTCGGCAAGGAGAGGTCGCTCGAAACGAAGAGCGAGTCTATAGTCCGGTCTGTGAGCACGTAGAATTTTGTCCAATGACCCCAAGCTACCTAATCTTGTAATTATGTTGCTGTCGCGCTCTCACACTCACTGCGGGCGCCCGTCGCACAGTCGCGACAGCAATTACGCGCGAGCGATAAGAATGGGTAGCTAGGGGTCATTGGACAAAATTCTACGTGCTTACAGACCGGGCTTTACACTATTTGCAAAAAATAAAGGACTTGTGAGTTTTATATGATACCTTTTTATTTCAAACAGCTGTCATCATCCTCGAGTTCTAAAAGATATCGTTTGCTATAAGTCATTTGTTCGAACTCTATTAGTCTGTTCCTTAGTATACAACAAAGAGTATCAAATACACATAATCCTCACCAAGATCGCCTCTCTTTGCGAAGCAAAGGTAGGCGGCTGCGCGCGCGCCAGTTTGGCCGCTAGCGCACGAGCCCACTGTGCCGCGTGTAGTAAAGGTTCACGCCAGCGAGCGTAGATGTCTTGCACGGCGCGGCACATCATGTATGCCGTGTATCTGCGTGAATAATAATGGTATTAACAAATAGTCATCGCAACAAAAAATAATACATTCTGTAAGTAAAAGCATCTATAACAACACAAATTAAGTTAATAACAGCACCCGTTTAAGTTAAGCCTATCTCTTGGGCAAGCCTTTTTTGAAGAAATGCGTTGAATCGCATACCAACCCTGCGGGGAAAGGGAAGGTTATGTTCCCACATAAAAAGACCCCGGAGGCATACCCACTAAAAAGACCCCGGTGCTCTGTCACTTGCCATAAGTGGGAGGGGACTGTGAGATTCCGGACAAAGCCTTCTCTAGCTACCACAGCCTCTCTCGACGATTGCCCGCTTACACAGCGGGCCCTACAAGCTCCCCGGGACGAGGGACAACAGGATCACCTGGGAGCACACCAGCTGTTCCCGTCCGTCTTGGTCAAGCTTATTCTAACTCCATGAGTACAGTCGCAGTAATGTCTTGAAAGTTCCATATGTATACATAATAGAAATAGCCACTAATGTGGGAAAATATACTCACCGGTTCGGAACTCGAAACTCGTTGAGAGACAACTCTTTTTCTACCTCGTTGAACTTTTGATCAAACTCAGTGAGCAGTCGACTAATTTGATTGCAGGCAATGTCCCTGAAAAATTACATTCAATTATTGATTTGACTGTCAGGAATATTCTCACGTCATCTACTCTTATGCGGTATTCGAATCATTAATAACCGCCTCTGTGGTCTAGTGGTAAGACCACCTGCTTCAGACGCAGAGGTCCCTGGTTCGAATCCCAGATTTTTCTGTTCGGTTTGGTTGGTGGTTAGGGCTTGTTCTAAGTCCGCCTGGCTAGCTACCACCATCTTACCTAAGTCTGTCGCCATAACAACAATGTTAACAGCATTGTTGTGTTCCGGCAGTTAGAGGTAAGATAGCCAGTTCCTCCGTGGTTATGCTCGGGTGAAGCTCGCTTCCACCTTCGGCCTGATCATCACTTACCATCAGGTGAGATACAGGCCAAGAGCTTCCTCGTTGTAAATAAAAAATAAAAAAATTAATCGATTACACGATTCCAGCCCAGTCCAGTCACTATCTCTTATCGCGCTATCGCAAATTAATATTGTTTCCTAAAGTCAAGAAACGGTTGCGTTCTCCCGTCTGTTGCTTGTCTCAGCCGTGGCGTGGACTGCCGCCTTTACGCCTTCGTCTCGCTGTCATGGTTTCGCGTTTATATTACAGACAGGCGTAGTAGTGTCATAACAGGCGTGTAATAGTTGCTATGCTATGCTTGCTGATGAGGGATGGGTTACTCCGAAGAGTGCTAAATAAAACCGACCCGTTTGAGTGCTGCTCATACACTGATTTATTACTAAGTGATTCTACAGGCGTGAATTAAAACTAGGTCAAACTTATACGTAAAGTGTTTAACGCCTACTTAGCAATAAATGATTTAACTATATAAAAAGGAAATGTGCAAGTAATAATGTACGATGGCTCGTACAAGGCGTACACTTTGTTTCAAAAACACGTAAAGTGTTTCTTTCTAATTCAGTACAGGCGGACACACTCACAAGAACGGGATTATTCCCACCTCTCGTTTCCACCGCTGCAACTCTTGTGTAGTCAGGATCTACAGCTTAAACGCCAATAAAAACCCAACTAGTGAAGGTCAAGTTTGTCCCGAGGGGAAGTTAAATCATTGGACCCGCAACGAAATTAATCATAAGAACATAGGAGTTGGAATTAAAATAGTAAGACACGGTTCTTAACGCGACGCTTATTAAGAGCCATTTTACATTTTCGTGCGAATTTCTAAGATTTTGGAAGCATGAATTACTATCTTAAGCAACACCCAGAGATTATTTAATAACTGCGAAAGATAGGTCGATCCTTGTTGTTGACCATTAATGAAACGGATTTACTAAAACTCTTTTGCTTAATTCACAGTGCCCCATCTCCCACAACCATTTTACGNGGAATATTTTTGTGAAATGGCTCTTAATGAGTTACATTATAATCCGGGCGTTTTCAAGGCGAGAGTGAATGGGCACTTACAGGACAGATATGTACCATCCTAGACTGCATCTCACTTAACACCAGGTGCGATTGCGGTCAAATACCTGCCTTGGCTAGCATAAAAAAAAAAAAAAAAAAAATATATGTATTCACGGCTTGACGTTTCGGCTGCGATGCTGCAGCCGTGGTCACAAGCAGACTGGCGGTTCGCGGCGTCGTCCGTTCGGGCGGGCTTGAAGATTTTCAACTAACCGCCGGACGCCGAAAAAAGGAGTTGTAAGTTAAGCTATTGGAACGCTGCCACGAAATTCCGATCGACCAGCAGAACAAGCGCCGCAAGTGGAACTGGATTGGCCACACTCTCCGACCGAAGGGACCCCGATCACATCCCTAAGCAGGCTCTGGATTGGAATTCCCAAGGAAAACGCAAACGTGGTCGCCCCAGGCAAACTTGGCGGCGCACTGTAGGGGACGAGGCGAAGAAGATCGGCAAGACCTGGAGCGAGATCAAGCGAGAAGCTCAAGACCGAACGAGATAGAGGTCTGTTGTGGACGCCTTCTGCCCCATCTAGGGGACATAGGACCTTAAGTCAAGTAAGTCAAGTTAAGGGTCACTCACGAGAAAGTAATGGGCGCCAGCAAGGCGGCGCAGCGCACGCGGCGGGCCAGACGCGCCGTGAAGGCCCACTCCGCTTGTAGCCCCGCGCGCCCGAGTAGCTCCGTCTCCGACATCGTCGTGAGGTACGACAGGTATTGCTGGAACAGAACACGCCAAATATTATAAATAAATATAAATAAAAAACCATCCACCCAAACTCATTATCATCACTTCAGCCGAAGGACGTCTACTGCTAAAGCCCGATCTGTGAGCACGTAGAATTTTGTCCAATGACCCTAAGCAGTGCGACGGGCGCCCGCAGTGAGTGTGGCCAGACTATAGACGAAGACGTGTCCTAAGGATTCCCACAACCACTGTTCCTTTGTTGGTCAAAGGATACCTTTGAGGAGGAGGCATTCATTATGTCTTCAGCCAAAGGACGAAGACTGCTGGACAAAAACGTGCCATAAGGAATTCCATAACTACTATTCCTGTGCTGGCCATCCAGGTGCTTCCCGCGACCTCTATATCCCCAGTCCACCAAGTGAGAGACCTGCCCACTGCGTTTTCCGGTTTGTGTCTGCCACTTGAGAACCTTTCTGCCATAGCGGCCTTCAGTTCTCCGCCCACAGCCATTTAAGTTTGGCATTTCTGCATACCATTTTTGTTACTTTTGTTCTCTAACAAATCAGTTCGATCACATATAGTAAATATCATGAAGCAATAAAGATATTATGATTATGATTATGATCATGGCATTTACAACTCAAAAGTATTTTCACCACCAGTAATACACACGCAACGAGCTATAAAATTCACTGACCTTGAGCACACTTTCCACGGTGGCGTCATAAGTCTTCAGCAGGAGTAGTAAGTCACGTCTCGCGGCAGCGGGTGCGAGTCGACCCTTTAGCGCCACCTCCACGTGTCGAATGACGTCATACACACAAACGAGCCATACTAAGTTCACTAACCTTGAGCACACTTTCCACGGTGGCGTCATAAGTCTTCAGCAGCAGTAGTAAGTCACGTCTCGCGGCAGCGGGCGCGGGTCGGCCCTTTAGCGCCACCTCCACGTGTCGAATGACGTCATACACACACAACGAGCCATACTAAGTCCACTGACCTTGAGCACACTTTCGACGGTGGCGTCATAAGTCTTCAGCAGCAGTAGTAAGTCACGTCTCGCGGCAGCGGGCGCGGGCCGGCCCTTCAGCGCCACTTTGACGTTACGGACGAAGTCATACACACAAAATGAGCCATAATAAGTCCACTGACCTTGAGCACAATTTCAACAGTGGCGTCATAAGTCTTCAATAACAGCAGCAGGTCACGTCTCGCGGCAGCGGGCGCGGGCCGGCCTTTTAGCGCCACCTCCACGTGTCGAATGACGTCATACACACACAACGAGCCATACTAAGTTCACTGACCTTGAGCACACTTTCCACGGTGGCGTCATAAGTCTTCAATAACAGCAGCAGGTCACGTCTCGCGGCAGCGGGTGCGGGCCGTCCCTTCAGCGCCACTTCGACGTTGCGGACGAAGTCGCGCCGCATCTCCGTCGAGATATCCAGACCTTCCTTTAGCTCGTGGATTAGCTGAAAGAATAAAACGTAACGCTTGTAATGTGGTCTGATAAAAACAAAAGACAGTTATTTAACTAAAGCCCGGTCTGTGAGCACGTAGAATTTTGTCCAATGACCCAAAGCTACCCATCCTTATCGCTCGCGCGTAATTATGTTGCTGTCGCGCTCGCACACTCACTGCGGGCGCCCGTCACACAGTAGCGACAGCAACATAATTACACGCGAGCGATAGGGATAGGTAGCTTGGGGTCATTGGACGGGATTCTACGTGCTCACGGACCAGGCTTTAGCTGTAAGCGACTTTTGCCGCTTCACCGATAAATAGGAAGGTCTATACGGTTCTATTTTATACTTTTACGATTGAATTATGGACTACTTGAAAAACGGTGGAGTGGTGGTGGTAAAACGGGACTATCATTGATCTTCCCATAAACATAGCTGTGGAATGGAACTACTTGTTTGATGCAGGCGCATGGTTATACCGCTACCTAGGAAAAAGAAGAAAGAAGAAAATGGCTGAGAAAAGTGATTAAGGGAGAGAGAGAGACTTATCAACTTGGAAAGGGATCAACACCGTATCGCCTTTTGCGCCTTTCGTGAGCTGTCATCGCGTTTTCGTTACGGTGCAGATAAGTGTGCGTTGCAGTATGGAGTTTCAAAGAAATTGATCGCCTCGAGTTGATACGGTTACGATGAACGATCCCTTTCCGGGTTTATAAAGGTGCGCCGTCCTTAAGCTATACTTAGGACGTATACGGATTACTAATGTTTGGCCAAAAAACGTTTCCCAAATTATCACATGGCAAACAACGTTTCGCAAATTTTCATTTGGCAAATTCTCATTTGGCAAAGCAACTTATTGCAAACTTTTAATTCGCAAATATTGTTTTTGGCATATTATTGTTTAGCAAATTATTGTTTGGCAAAGTATGGTTTGCCAAATGTTTCATTAGGCAAAAATATTTCACGATAAACTATTTACAAAATAATTTGATTGGTGCATAGAATGGATACAAATTAGCTTGTGGTTATTATTTTGTTTAGTGGGTAGTTAATATAAAATTTGTTCTACATTAATTTCCTTATTTCATTCTTTTTATCGAAATTTCCAAACGATTCATTAACAATAAAGGTGATTCTAGCGCTCGGCGGCCGCTGCCGCGGCACGCTTCGCTCGCCTTCGCGCATTAAGGGTCACTGTTCTAACTTTTTGCAACCATACTATTTCCTGCAATGTATTACATAAAATACATAAAATTCTTGTGAAAACCATGATCATGTGCCTTACTTTGATTTGTGGGTAACGGTGGGTAAGTATGTGAAGTGTCAATTTGACCAAACAAATTATTTGGGATATAATATTTGGCAACATAAAACATATGCTATATAAACATTTGCCAAGTAAAATTTGGCCAAATGATAATTTGACCAAATGAATTAGTTGCGAAAAGTACAGTTGCTAAAAGTTCATTTGGGAAATGAAACTTTGGCGATAAGTTGTTTGCGAAGTGAAATTTGGCGAAAAGTAATTTGGCCAAACGGAAGGATACCCACTATAACGTATATACAGGGTGTCCCGTAATGTAACGTCAAGCCGGAACTGGGTGTTGAGGCAAGTTGTGCTGGTTATCAGAAAAATATAAAAAAAAATCTATGTGGCATATTTTAAAAATAATAGGCATTTAAAAAAAATCAAAAAATTCTACTCCAGGTGACGGTCCTTTTGCTCGTGTTGCCACAAATCTTCACTTTTTCCAAAATTTTTTTTTTGTTATGTAACCCTGAATAATGCTTCTCTAAATTGTTATCAAAATTACAAAACCAGCTGCTCCAGCTTGGATGAAAAAATACATTATTCCCAAAAAAAAATTTCAAAATAAAAATTTTGTCTAGTTTAAACTGACTGTACTGAAAAAAAATTGTACTACGCGAGTGTGGCAAGTGACGTCATAATTTGGCGCATTTAGTAAGGATTCCAAAATGGTATAACACTTGGTAAATTTTTGCTGTAATTGTCGACAATTTTTGGTTTTTTGGAAATAGTCCCGTTTTTAACTTTATCTACCTTGGTTAAAAATTATTATTCTAATGTGCCCAAAATTCAAGTTTCTGTGACTGACTACCGTACAGTCAGTCACAGAAACTTTTGTCACCATGACAGTAATTAGTAGTTGACATACTGTGACAAAAGTCACCCGTGCGCGCGCGCCTTTACTACCTGCTCTGCCTGCACTTGTACTTGGTAACAGGGATAATAAGGATATGAAGTTTCGGTTATGGATACGGTTACGGATATTAGAATAATATTATACCGGTTTCGGTTACGGTCACGGATATGAAATAATTTCAGATTATCCGAAAGTCTCGGATAATTTCGGATACGGAATTATTAGAATTTCAAAAATGTAGGTATAATACAAATAGCAAGATGCTGCGTGAGCGTGAACCACATAGCTACTTTATGTACCAACTAAGACGACACCTATGTATGATAAAGGTAAAACAGGCTGGCATATTAGATGGTGCCAGCGAATGCCAGACAAGTTGGTAACAAATATTAAGATTTAAGGTACAATTCCAAGACGGGCCGCAGACCGCAAACTGCAACCGCAAACTGCAAAACTATGAAATCGGCAGCGCGGCATTGCAGCTGCGGCGTGTATACTGCAGATTTCATAGAGTTTTGCAGTTTGGCCTTTATCCGAAACTATCCGTAACTTTTGAATCAGTTTCGGTTACGGTTATGGACATTTTTTTATTTCGGATATCCGATAGTTTCGGTTACGGTTACGGATATCCATAACATCCCTGCTTGGTAAGATGGCCCTCTCCGTCCCGCTCATACCTTTTAAAATGGCTTCTCCACCTCACTTAAGCCAGAAACTTGAATTTTGGGCACATTAGAATAATATTTTTGACCAAGGTAGATAAAGTTAAAAACGGGATTATTTCCAATAAACAAAAATTGTCGATAATTACAGCAAGATTTTACAAAGTGTTATACCATTTTGGAATCCTTACTAAATGCGCCAAATTATGACGTCACTTGCCACACTCGCGTAGTACAATTTTTTTTCAGTACAGTCAGTTTAAACTAGGCATAATTTTTATTTTGATATTTTTTTTGGGAATAATGTATTTTTTTCATCCAAGTTGGAGCAGCTGGTTTTGTAATTTTGATAACAATTTAGAGAAGCATTATTCAGGGTTACATAACAAAAAAAAAATTTGGAAAAAGTGAAGATTTGTGGCAACACGAGTAAAAGGACCGTCACCTGGAGTAGAATTTTTTGATATTTTTTAAATGCCTATTATTTTTAAAATATGCCACATAGATTTTTTTTTATATTTTTCTGATAACCAGCACAACTTGCCTCAACACCCAGTTCCGGCTTGACGTTACATTACGGGACACCCTGTATAAGTGCCTGAAAGGGCCTTTTATACCTGCTTAACGGTGAGGCAGGAGGGCCGCTCGGGGCGCGCCTCGAGCCGCAGCGAGAGGTAGTCGTGCACGGCCTCCATGCAGATGCTGCTTAGCGTCAGGAAGTGGTTCCTGTATGATGGCAGCCGCATGGCCAGGTTCTCCTCCGACCAGCACCCGTATCTGGACAAAGAAATATTTATTTATTTATTTATTTTCACCAACATAAACTATCTTTACAGGTCAATAACCTAATGCGATAGCATAAATTATTTTGTAGGCTGGTACACTGTATCTACTTACACTAACTACTTATAACTAACAATAAAAAAAGTGCGGCTCTTACGAATATAATTATTATTTTATCCTAGACGAACGGGAAAAGCATAACACTTCACGAAGAGGAATTTGGCTGCATATCACAATGACGAAAATAAATATGTGTCGGCGCCATATTTATTTATAGAAATTTATTTGTCACATATCGTCATAAATTATAGCCTATAGTTATGTTAATCTGGTTTATAAACAATAATACTGTAAAGTTTCAACAAAACCCGTTCAGTAGTTTTTGAGTGAAAGAATAACAAACATCCAGACATCCAAACTTTGGCATTTATAATATTAGTAGGATTGTTATACGTCGCCACTAATGACAATATTTTTTTTCCCATTTATCCTCAGTAGGGACATAGTCAGTGTCCACAACCGGGAATAGACGGACTGCGGATACTATGCGGTATCCACGAATCACCTCAGCCTGTGCCTCAGTGATATCATGCGTTGCGCTTTTTTGAACAGTAGGATGCTCCACGACTACACAGCACTGTGCCATATTCGAGCCCCATATAGGACCATATAACGCGCGACGCAAAAGTATAGTCAACGACTCAGTGCAGCCGGGCCTCCGAGATTAGGCATCAACCGGCTTAGTGCGCTGGCGGTAGCCAAAAGCTTAGGAGTGAGACGATTCAAGTGGCCGTCAAATGACCACTGTCCAACTAACTACAATCCGAGGTACCTACCGCAAAGATTTTCCGACTGTAATATGTTGTGTATGTTCCCCCTACAACTAGGTGGGACCCTGCTGGCAGAGCATTCCTATTAACTATTCTGTAACCACCTATTTATGGCAAATAAATTATTAGTATTATTCCTCTTTATAATATTAGTATACGTACATAACTTGTTGTCCCAAATTTTCGTCATTCGTTTCATCGCTAAAAATAACTTAATTTTATTTTTCATTACGTCTGAAATAGAATTTGTAGTAAAAATAGACTGTAATGAAAAATAACAATAAAATATTTTAATTACCACGTGATCGCAAAATCTACCACCAAGATTTTGCGGATACACTATAAAAGTCCAGCTACCTGTCAAAGATCAACGTGCGCGTGACACATGTCAGCAGAGCACCGAGCGACGTGACCTCACTCTGGAACGCCTCGAGGCGGACTGAATTTGAACGATTCGTGCGCGGCGTTTTATAGTACTTTTGAAATACTCATAGAAAAAAAATTACAATGAATTATTTTAAATTTCAAAGTAAATATTTGAGATAAGATATTCTTCTATTACATTAAGCTATTTTTGTGTTGAATAAAGGAAGAATATTGGTGAAAAAATCACTTTGATTTTTGGGTATTTCATGTTCTTTTAATTTGTGATTTCTTATTGTAAAATGCTTAAATCTAAAAATTTTCTCAGATAACTATTTGCCCAAGGATCTATGCTATAAGATATAAATGTTTGTTAAATCGTTTTCACAGTATTTTTATAAAAATTTCAGCTTGTAAACTGACGCTAAAGTGGAAATTTACAAAACCTGTGTGGACTTATCTTGATAGAATTCTTAAATATTAAACTAATCGCAATATTTTCTCAATTAACTATTTAGACGACGAAATTGTCTAACTATTTATGCCTATAACATATTTGTAATATTACTGGTTAATGATTGTAACGAGTTGAAAAAGTACTGTTTTTGCGCCAAACGGCGTAAACGCTCTTAAAGGAACGCTAGTTCGAACCCCGTTGCCTCTCGACTATAATTGTGGTGAGCCCAATCGTAACAAAAGTATATTTAGCTTAGTACGAGTTGACGGGGCTAGTAGTGAATCATTGCAGTCAAAAAATTTATGTTAAGTAATTTTAAAAGTCACAGTGTATCTGTAGAACGACGAATATTAATTCTTAGTCCCAGTAGTTAGATCTACACCTTGACCGCCATTAACACCTAACCAGTGAAAGTTATGCTAGTCCCATAATACAGATGGAATTCGAAGCCAAACCAGTTTCTTCTCAGCACTTGCCATATGTTTGTCTCGAAGCGCTGGTAGGGCCCAAAAGATAAGGAGACATGTAAAGTGCCCCATAAGGGCTACCTTTTTCTTTTTTTATTATTTTCTATTGACGTTCATAAGTGCCACTTGTGGTCTAAACTGAATAAATATTTTTGATTTTGATTTTGATTTTTGATTGTATACCCACCTCCTTAATTCAGCAGCGTCGCTGAATTCGTCCTTCTTAGAGTTTTCAGTCTTGTCCTCATCATCTTTGGTGTCGTCGAACACTTCCACCGTCGCGTCCTCCTGGTAGCCCTCCGGGTTCACGCTCTGTGTTCAAAACAAAGAACATGAGATATTATTTATTTGTAAATGTGAATAAATAGCCAATGAGTGTAGGCTTTACGTCAATGGAAAAAAGACAAGACCATTGACATATTTATTTTTGTATCATGTAACCGCGGAAAACGCAGCGTGGGACGTCCACCTACAAGGTGGACCGACGACATCGTAAAGGTAGCAGGGAAGCGCTGGACGCAGGCCGCTACCAATCGATCAACGTGGAAAGCATTAGGGGAGGCCTATGTTCAGCAGTGGACGTCCTATGGCTGAAATGATGATGTTGAACCGCGGAAATTCAATGCGGGTAACACAGGACCAGTCGTTGTGGATGTGGAAAAACTTGGGGGCGGCTTTTGTCTACCAGTGGACGTCATTTATGGACGTACAGGAAAATGCAGCGTAGGACGTCCTGGAGGTGGACCGACGACCTCATAAAAATAGCAGGAAGGCGCTGGATGCAGACCGCTATCAAGCGCTCATTACGGAAATTATTGGGGGAGGCCCATGTTCAGCAGTGGACGTCTTATGGCTGAAATTATGATGGTGATCATTGTTTATGACAATGACTAAAGCTCGGTCTCTGAGCACGTAGAATTTTGTTCAATGACCCCAAGCTACCCATCCTTATCACTCGAGCGTAATTATATTGCGATCGCGACTGTGCGACGGGCGCCCGCAGTGAGCGTGCGAGCGCGAATGCAATATACCTAATTACGCGCGAGCGATAAGGATGGGTAGCTTGGGGTCAATGGACAAAATTCTACGTGCTCAGCGACCAGACTATTTTTTTATCCACAACGAGGAAGCTCTTGGCCTGTATCTCACCTGGTGGTGAGTGATGATCAGGCCAAGGTGGAAGCGAGCTTCACCCGAAATCCTCAACCACAGCTATCTTACCTCTAACTGCCGGAACACAATAATGCTGTTAACATTGTTGTTATGGCGACAGACTTAGGTTAGATGGTGGTAGCTGGCCAGGTGGACTTAGAAAAAGCCCTACTATAGGTGTTAGGAACCACGATTTCGCCAACGTCACGTGTGCTGTCAAACTGTCAAGAAGCTGTCAAAGACTCACGTCGGGCATCTCGAGCGTGACGTGCACCTTGTGCAGCACGTGGCTGCACATCTTGTTGACGAACATCATGCAGCGCCGCACGCCCTGCGTCTTTAGCATCTCGTGGTGGTACTCTCTGGAAACAGATCAGATACTTTGTGTAGCGAATGGGATACTTTTGCGTTGGCAATCAAAGTCTGAGATATACTTGAGCTATTGGCAAAGATGGGCGGAGTTTAAAAAAAATTAACAAATATCTTTAAGATATTACTATCTTAAAGATATTTGTTAATTTTTTTTACAGGCCGGCAGGCAGATTTACAGGCCTTCAATCAACCAGATTTTTTGTTTCAGAGGACAAGTCAAGTCATATCCAGCGGGAAATGAGTTGCCACGCAATGCGCCACGCGATATATCAATCTTAAATATCACAAAAGCCGCTAAAGTAGAGGAGTCTTGTGTGGACACTGCGACTCAGCAAGCGTAGTATGGGACGTCCTCCAGCCAGGTGGAGTAATGACTTGCGAAAGTCATAGTAAAGATAGGGTAAAACGGCGCGTATTGTAGGTTTATATCCAACAGTAAACTGATATAGGCTGATAATGACGACGACACTGTTAGGGTCCTAACGAATATTAGTACAGAATAAAATAGCGGACTGTATAAAAATAGGTGCTGTATTTTCGCCAGCCTAATTACAAGAGATTATAAACGGGACTATTCCCACCTCTCGTTCCCACCACTGCAACTCCTGTGTAGCCAGGATCTACAGCTTGACCGCCACAAAAACCCAACCAATGAAGGTCAAGTTTGTCCCGGGGGAAAGTTAAACTGTCATTGGACCCGCAACGAAATTAATCAGAAGAACATAGGAGGAGTTCGAAATTAAGGTTCGACTTCCCTCCATTGCAAAGCGGATGACAGGTGACAAACAAAGGTTTAAAACCTTTAAGAAAAAGATTATGCACCACGGACAATAAATTAAATTAAGGGGGCCTATCTTATGAGCAATTAGCAACTACCTGCCAGTAATATTTTTCACAAAATCGCTACGCTACAAGAGATTATAAGAGTACGCGTGGTATACGTGCGTCCAATGCGTGTGTGAACCGAGCGCCGCCGATGATGACGAGGTGACGTTAGTCATCGTACGCCGCCCGCACGTCTCCTCCCGCTCGTTGTTGGCTTCCCAACAACACTATAAAGATGTATTCCAGCCCATGTATAATATGTGTATGTATTTAAAAAGTATAATTATGTAGTATATCCGTTAAGCTACTACCCATAATACAAGCATATTAATTGCTTACTTTTGGGCTAGATAACACTGTGTGAAATTGTCCAAAGATTTACTTTATTCATACCTATACGGCGACACCTGGCACTTGCCGAGCAGGCGCAACCTGGTGATGTCGTCGAGCGGGCCCATGCGGTAGACGTCCTGGCGCGCGGCGTCGGCGCCGCTGCTGTAGCCGCTCTCGCTGCTGGCGCTGGTGTCGCTGGTGCCGTACTTGTCCGAGATTACGATCTCCGGCGTCAGCTGCCCGTTGGCTTCTGCTGGGAGACGACGATAGATAAAACCTAATTTTTTACAACACTTATTCACTTTTGCCTTTTTTTAACAGGCAAACAATTTTGCTTAGTTTAGGTATTAATAATTTTACATTCGCACACTAACGTTTTTTTAAGTAATTCTTATTCTTACTGAAGCCCTAAATGCACCCAGCCTCCTTCCGTATTAGTCGCAAACAAGTCCAACCTAGACCGTATAGTGGAAACGATAAGTGATCTCAATCGATTATTTCTAAACTAATTAGTTACTGATCCTGAAAGTGCTTCATGAGCTCTTTCAAACGGTATCAATAATAAGTTACAGAATAAACTGGATCTATCCGAAAATTCAATGTTTCCGGCTTCAATAGTCAATCTTTATATCCTCCCTTTACCCCACCCAGGTCCGATTCGTTTACGCTATCTTCAAAACACATAAGACTCAAAAACTAATTTGAATACCTATAATAAGTGTCTTAATTTATTTACTCATAAAACGCCGATTGCTTCAAGCGCAAGCTAACTCAGAGCTATCCTACTAGTAATCTTCGTGCAATCGGCACTAAGGCAAGCTATCATCATCAAGATCATATCATTTAATCTCCAACACAAGTCTCTCCTCTTAGAGGACCCTCAATTTACCAATTTGGCCCACACTTCCCACGTGGCCAACTCGGAATATGTTCTTACCTGAAGAACCGCCATTCGCAATGGCACAGTCAACCTCGTCCTCCCGCCTGTCATCCACGGCCTCATCCTTCGCGCTGTCCTCCCCTCTATAGTCTGGTCTGTGAGCACGTAGAATTTTGTCCAATGACCCCAAGCTACCCATCCTTATCGCTCGCGCGTAATTATATTGCTGTCGCGACTGTGCGACTGGCACCCGCAGTAAGTGTGCGAGCGTCTGACGTCTTCTTTCAGAGAGTGCGTGCTGCATTGGCTATTGTTGGAGTCGAGTCTTACCTGAGGAGCCTCCATTCGCTATGGCACAGTCAACCTCGTCCTCTCGCCTGTCATCCACAGCCTCATCCTTCGCGCTGTCCTCTCCGCTGGTGACGTCTTCCTTGAGCGAGTGCGTGCTGCATTCACTGTTGCTAGAGTCACTAGGGTTGTCGCAGTTGAATCGCACTAGGCAGGGCCGGCTGGCTTCCGAGCATTGTCTGGGAAGAAAAGTCAGTTATTGGCGTTAGTTTGTGGTAACTAAGGTAAAGACTATCGTTTTTCGAGTGGCGCTGCGTAGATTCGGCGTTCGATAGCCGCTCATCGTCGTCATGTTATTAACTTTAAAAGAGAGTTGATGCGCCGCGTCGACGCTGCGCGGATCCTGGTGATACTAACGTTACGACGATCCTCAAAATACTAGTGTGGGAACCCTTACCATGCCATGTGGCTCCCAAAGATGAGGTAGTAGACACCACATTTGTTATCACTTAGGCACAAATATTTGGAGGATATGGAATATTGAAGGAGTCACATATTTTTTGATTATTTTCACGAGTCTGTGATCATGTGGCAAAGGGAATATGACGTCAATGATGCATCAATGAATTAATTTTCTTTCAAATACCGTATTTTTGTAAAGTTGTGGTCACGTCCCTCCCATATAAGGTACAGAATCTTTCCGAGTGCAATATCATTTCGGTCATCATACAGTCGACTACACAAGTCTACTTGTTGCAGCATCGCTGTTATTACAACTTTATTAAGAGCGTTTACGCGAAGCGCGGCGTTTCAAGGGGCATCATTGGAAATGATTCGCGCGCGGCGTTTTTTAATAGTTTTCAAATGTTTATAGCAAAACAATAACAATGAATTAAATATCGTTTCAAAGTAAATATTTTAAAGAAGATGTTGTTTTATTATATTAAGCTATTTTTATGTTGAATAAAGGAAGAATAGTGGTGAAAAAATCACTTTGATTTTTGGGTATTTCACGTTCTTTTAATTTGTGATTTCTTATTGTAAAATGCTTAAATCTAAAAATTTTCTCAGATAACTATTTGCCCAAGGATCTATGCTATAGGATATAAATGTTTTTTAAATCGTTTTCACAGTATTTTTATAAAAATTTCAGCTTGTAAACTGACACTAAAGTGGAAATTTACAAAACCTGTGTGGACTTATCTTGATAGAATTCTTAAATACTAAACTAATCGCAATATTTTCTCAATTAACTATTTAGACGACGAAATTGCCTAACTATTTATGCCTATAACATATTTGTAGTATTACTGGTTAATGATTGTAACGAGTTGAAAAAGTACTGTTTTTGCGCCAAACGGCGTAAACGCTCTTAAATGCCAGAGTGAACTTTTCCGAACGCAATTATTTTTCATTGCCTATAGTTTCTACCGATATTGCTATTTCTCCGAGTTTCTCCGCTACGTTTTCTCAGCATGTTATCTAACGTTGTTTATCTAAGAATCCTATTACTACGGCGTAACAATTAACAAGTTACCTGCTGAGCGGGTTGTCGGAGGCAGTAGAACTGGGCGTGGGCGTGGGCGTGGGCCGGCGCCGCTTGTGGCGCAGCGTGCGCATCATGCGGCGGACAGCTAACATCTTGAGCCGCATGTGCAGCGCCGTGTTGTACCATAGGCACATCGCCTGCAACAGTTGGGAACGTTTCAATTTATTTATATTATTATTTATAGCGGCCTACATCCAGCACCTTTCTGAAGTTGTCTGTCAACGTTAAATAATAATAAGAATAAGAAAAACTTTATTTGACACAAAAATAAAATAAAAAACAAAACAAAGGGACTTAAAACTGTACACGCACTTTGTGTCAAAAAGGCGCCCGCTCAGCATTAATCGAGCACCCGACGCTGGTTTTCAGTGGTTGCCTCTCCAACCAACATTTTAAATTACAAAAGAAAACGATTCAAAACATTGACAAGAGGGCGCCACTATCTCACTGCTCCAATTTTTTGTCATGTTGAGCAAATACTCGATTCCGCATTCCATTAAAATTGTAAAATTGTAATTGACATTGTAGATAAAATTCCTACGCTGCGCTTACGATTCGCGGCCTCCATTCCAGAACTTTGCTGCCTCATAGGTTGTCAATTTTACGTACTATGTGCCCACTTCAGCTGGCTATCCGTCGGGCTATGTCAGCGACATTAATTCGTTTAAGGATTTAAACACACTGGATGCCTTCTGCGGTTTGCAGTCAGATCAAATGAACGCAGCCCGCTGTCACTTTGCGTTCTTTTCTCATACCTGCGCTGTCAGATCTCATCGATAGAAAAAGTACAGAGACCGACAATATTGTTCATACATATATGTTTTTTTTTATCCACAACGAGGAAGCTCTTGGCCAGTATCTCACCTGATGGTAAGTGACGATCACGACGTGGCCGAAGGTGGAAGCGAGCTTTACCCGGAATCCTCAACCACGGAGGAACTGGCTATCTTACCTCTAACTGCCGGAACACAATAATGCTGTTAACATTGTTGTTATGGCGACAGACTTAGGTAAGATGGTGGTAGCTAGCCAGGCGGACTTAAAACAAGCCCTTCCACCAACCAAACCGAACAGAAAAATCTGCCCCCACTGGGAATCGAACCCGAGACCTCTGCGTGGTCTTACCACTAGACCACAGACGCGGTAAAATGACCTGAGCGTAGACCGCATCCAGTGTGGCAAATCCTTTAAGGCTCACCTTGATCCGGTTCTGGAAGGGCTCGGTGGCCACGAGCGGGTGGTCTACAGTCATGGCCTTGCACGAAGGGTACAACGCCAGCGCGTTGTAGTATGCGTCGATGAGCGCGTTGACCTGCATCACTCATCGGCTGTAACTGTGACGTCAGCTCACTTTGATCCGGTTCTGGAAAAGCCACGAGCGGCGCCAGCGCGTCGTAGTCGCATCGCGAGGGCGTTGACCTCCTGCTTCGCTAGTGTCAGCAACTGTGACGTCAGCTCACCTTGATATAGTTCTGGAAGGGCTCCCGTGGCCACGAGTGGCGCCAGCGCATTGTTGTCGCGTCGAGAGAGCGTTGACCTCCTGCATCGCTAGCCAGCTGCAGCTGTGACGTCAGATCACCTTGATCCGGCTCTAGAAGCGCTACGTAGCCACGAGTGACGCCAGCGCGCTGTAGTCACATTGTAAGGGCGTTGACCTCCTGCTGCTATGACGTCACTCACCTTGATCCGGTTCTGGAAGGGCTCGGTGGCCACGAGCGGGTGGTCCACGGTCATAGCCTTGCAGGACGGGTACAGCGCTAATGCATTGTAGTAAGCGTCGATGAGCGCGTTGACTTCTTGCATGGCTTTGCCCACGGCGTCCGTGCAGGAGCGGCAGTTGAACATCAGGCAGCCTGTGCCGTCATCTGGCAACATGATAGTATGTTATCATTTATCAAAAAATAACCAGCACCATCTGAGTTACATTATGAAGCTCCTAATAGGACCAAAATCTGTGAAACCTAGCTACGAGTGAGTACAACGAGGTCTCGAGTCTCAGCCGCATATGTAACCTGACTGAATAAGACGACCCTGCACTGCATTTTACTCTTCTACAGAACAACAAGCTCTACTTTATCACAAAAAACTTCAAAATTATAAAATCCAAAACTGTGCAAAATTAATTTTTTTCTTTTCGAATTTGTGCAGAATACTTTTCAGTCGGACTTTTCACTCAAATTGTCAAAGTTCATATCACCAAGACTAAGAAAAACTGATGATGATGATGAATTATCCAACCGATTTCGGCCATGGCGATCATTTCGACTCCCTTTCTTGGCGGCGCTAGTACGCTTGAAGATGGCTTACGTAGCCGAAATTCACGATTATGAAGGAGAAACCCAACTTACCATCTAAGTTCTCTGCCTCATCGTCCTCCCTTCCCTCGGATTCAGAATGCAAGTCCTCGCGCGATCCTGCCACCGCGCACAGCCGAGTCACGCGTGCTCGACACGGGTTCGGGTTCACGAACCTGGAGACAGGGGAATATAAAGTCAGCTGGGTTAGAGGCAGGGGAACACATGGTTAGCGGGTTGGATGACGAAAATATAAGAGCAGCTGGCTAGAAGACAAGAGAATAAAGGTTTGGAGGCAGAGGAACACAAGGTCAGATTCAGAAATTTATTTGCCTCTCCACAATGTTACAGCAGTGGACGTCATTTGGCTGAAACGAACGAGTGTTACATAGGGTAGATAGGACTTAAAGCTAAACAGATCGTTATGGACCCTGTCAGGCACTGCAATTGGAAGAGAAGTGGAACTACTCAACAGCAGGTAATATTGAAGGCAGCGAGGAACAAGATCAGCTGGTTTGGAGCAGGAGAGCACAAAGGTAGCGGGTTTGGAGACCGGGGAATACGAGATCAGCGTGTTTGGTAACGGGGAAATACAAAATCATCGGGTTTGGAGACATGGTAACACAAGTTCAATTAATTTGGAGACAAGGAAATACAGAATCAGCTGATTTGGAGACAAGGAAAATATAAGTTCAGCTGGTTTGGAAACAGTGTAACCCATGATCAGCTGGTTTGGAGAAAGGGAAGCATAAAATCAGACTCAAGGGTTACCGGTAGATCATGGTCATTTAGTAGCATAACGTTAAAAGCGCAAAATGACAAACGAATGCAGATTGTCAAAAGCGCACATTGTCAAAAGAGCAGGTAGACAAGCGTTACCGGCAGCACTCACCGGTAGCCCACGATGTTGCTGACGACCGCTGGCACGCCGTCGCGCTGCGAGCACAGGAAGGCGTCCTGCTGCGCCAGCGAGCGGCCGCCTGCAGCTGCAGCCAGCTCAGGTCCTTCAGCTCGTCCGCACCTACCCTCGCGGCACTCACCGGTAGCCCACGATGTTGCTGACGACCGCTGGCACGCCGTCGCGCTGCGAGCACAGGAAGGCGTCCTGCTGCGCCAGCGAGCGGCCGCCTGCAGCTGCAGCCAGCTCAGGTCCTTCAGCTCGTCCGCACCTACCCTCGCGGCACTCACCGGTAGCCCACGATGTTGCTGACGACCGCTGGCACGCCGTCGCGCTGCGAGCACAGGAAGGCGTCCTGCTGCGCCAGCGAGCGGCCGCCTGCAGCTGCAGCCAGCTCAGGTCCTTCAGCTCGTCCGCACCTACCCTCGCGGCACTCACCGGTAGCCCACGATGTTGCTGACGACCGCTGGCACGCCGTCGCGCTGCGAGCACAGGAAGGCGTCCTGCTGCGCCAGCGAGCGGCCGCCTGCAGCTGCAGCCAGCTCAGGTCCTTCAGCTCGTCCGCACCTACCCTCGCGGCACTCACCGGTAGCCCACGATGTTGCTGACGACCGCTGGCACGCCGTCGCGCTGCGAGCACAGGAAGGCGTCCTGCTGCGCCAGCGAGCGGCCGCCTGCAGCTGCAGCCAGCTCAGGTCCTTCAGCTCGTCCGCACCTACCCTCGCGGCACTCACCGGTAGCCCACGATGTTGCTGACGACCGCTGGCACGCCGTCGCGCTGCGAGCACAGGAAGGCGTCCTGCTGCGCCAGCGAGCGGCCGCCTGCAGCTGCAGCCAGCTCAGGTCCTTCAGCTCGTCCGCACCTACCCTCGCGGCACTCACCGGTAGCCCACGATGTTGCTGACGACCGCTGGCACGCCGTCGCGCTGCGAGCACAGGAAGGCGTCCTGCTGCGCCAGCGAGCGGCCGCCTGCAGCTGCAGCCAGCTCAGGTCCTTCAGCTCGTCCGCACCTACCCTCGCGGCACTCACCGGTAGCCCACGATGTTGCTGACGACCGCTGGCACGCCGTCGCGCTGCGAGCACAGGAAGGCGTCCTGCTGCGCCAGCGAGCGGCCCGCCACGCGCGCCTGCAGCTCCAGCCAGATCAGGTCTTTGAGCTCGTTCTGCCACACTTGTTCTTCGCGGCTTATCTACGAATATATCATCAGCAGGGCATTTAGTTTCCACTGCAGGAACGGGAACCTCTAAACCAGAGGCTAAGGGAAGATTTGACCTAACAGCTAAAGCTGGTCAGACGGGTTAGGTCGCAGTTTTTCCTTAGTCGCCTCTTACGACAATCACAGAACGAGTGGGAGTGGTCCTATTTAGTTGTGCCGCAACAACGCGCACTATAATAATCTACTGCTCTAATACCAACACCATTAATGTCATTGAGCGCTTTAAAAGATCAGAAGGAACAATCAAAAAACAATAACGGGAAGAAAGCCTACATAGTACACCATCACCACCATCAACCAAAACCTGACACTAAAGCTTTTCACTTTAAAAAGCAGCCCAAGTGTTCAGATCAAGTTTATCACACATACGGTCTCAGCGCAAGAATATTGAAGATTACACCTTACATACGTCTGCACTAGGTTTTGCCTTTTGCTTTACGCCCCACTTATACTAGAACACACACTTATAATAGTAGAAAAAAAAGAAGAGAAACATAACAGTTGAGTGATTCATATCCGTCCGCCGGCAGCCTTTATGATGAGCAGACATATTACATACGACTGGACATCTATTTACCCGTTACCTTACACCCCACATACTAAAGCCAAAACGAGCATTTAGGCCCAGAACAGACGGTGAAACGCAACTGCAACGAAACTGCAACTATGTGATGATTCTGATGAATGAAACTGAAAGTTTCAAACTGGTCGCGTCATGTGTGGTCTCTCAACGGACGCTATGGCAGAAACTTAGATGCAACTCAAAAGTAACTAGCAATTGCAGTTTCGTTGCAGTTGCGTTTCACCGTCTGTTCTGGGCCTTACAGAAGAAGAAGAAGAGAAACAACAGTTGAATGACTCAAATCCAACTCACTGCACTCACCGTCCGCCGACAGCCCTTTTCAATATTCCCCATGTTGATGAGCAGGCTGAAGGTCTTGTGGAAGGACACGCGGCTGGGAGGGACCGCCACCTCGGGCCAACGCCGACGCTCCACCTCCACGTCCTCTTCTGGTAAGCATTCCGCGTCGCGGCACTTCAGACGGGAGGTCAGAGACATGAAGCGGTTGCATGACTCCACCTGGGAATGACAATTTGTTATCAGTAATCTTGGTTTTCCAACCCAGCTGGAAGACGACGCGTGGGCAGGCCTCCTACTAGGTGGACCGACGATCTGGTGAAGGTCGCGAGAAGAGCCAGAATGCGGGCAGCGTAGGACCGTTCATTGTGGAAAACCTTGGAGGAGGCCTTTGTCCAGCAGTGGACGTCATTTGGCTGAAACGAACGAACGAAAGAATCTTCATTTTACAATACTCTTTCGTTGCCAAAGATTACCTACTTATAAGCCTCAATACATTTTAAAACGCAAAACACATGAGGTTTGTGACGTTTCAGCTCGGAATGACAACTTCTCAAAATGACAACCGGGGCGTAAAATGTCCACTTCTCTAAATGACAACTTCTTAAAATGTCAACTTCGCTAAAAGACAACTTCTCATAATGTCTATTTCTCACAATGACAAATTCACATTTGGTCTACTTCGCATAATGTCAACTACTTGTTGATATTTTATTTTCATTATTTCTAGAGTTGTAGTTCTTCTAGAGTTGTCATTATGTGAATTTGACCAAATGCGAATTTGTCATTGTGAGAAATAGACATTATAAGAAGTTGTCTTTTAGCGAAGTTGACATTTTAAGAAGTTGTCATTTCGAGAAGTGGACATTTTGCGCCCCGGTTGTCATTTTGAGAAGTTGTCATTCCGAGCTGAAACGGTTTGTGATCTGGCCAGGCCTGGCTCACTCCGCGCGGTACGTCCGATAATTACCTACAGCGAAGCGCCCCGCCGGCGGGTATTATATCAGTCGAGTGTCACGCGCGCGCCCGTCAGGACGCTGGCGTGCGTTGTAGTACCTAATTCTATGATCGAAGTATTATTTAAAAATTGATATAAAGAGAAAGAAATATTATTGTGCGGTATTCGGGTGTTTAAATTCGAAAAGAAATCTACCGGATTTATCTTTTTTTTCGCTTCCCAAAGATGCTGAAAGGTATGTTGGCCATGTAGGTAATCAATAATTCTTAGGATAGTATAGGAACCTAACCTACCATGACTACTGCTCAGAATGCGTTCGTTCGTTTCAGCCAAATGACGTCCACTGCTGGACAAAGGCCTCTCCCAAGGTTTTCCATAATGAATGCATACTTACCTACATACGTACCTCATTACAAATAAGTAGATTAATTATTTTTTCACTAGACAGCAACCCTAACAGCGTAAGAAGAGTTCAGAGGCACGCGATAGAAAGAGACAAAACTTGTAGGTGAATAAAATTGTAGGTACGTAGTGCTGTGCGAGCTGAATTCCACTGTATCGCGTCGTAGCAAGACTCGCATTTATTTAAATCGTCTTGCGGAGTAATCCTTCTGTACCTGTACTATTACTTATTCTGTGATCTGGCATCGGGAAGCGTATGGGTTACTGTATGGCATGATGCATATAATATCGAACGTTAAAGAAATTTGAGAACACTCCTGGTACAGCTTCAGTGTGTTTTGCGACTTAATAGGGAATCAAAATCACGAATCCAGCAAATTCACAACACAATTCACCATTTTTTTAACACCTCAATGACATGACATTAAGAAATGCTGGAGTGTTGTGTTGTCACAGGCTGTAGAAGTTCTCCAACATAACCTAGAGCGATTAACAGGCCAGTTTTAACTTACCAAGGTAGGTACCGCAGGCGCCGGGCCGACGGGCGAAGGCAGCGACTCCGCCCGGTGCTCCCGCTGGCTCATGTCTTGCTTCCAGTCCCTCGCCTCTCGCAACTTCAAGCTGACCCGCTTCCTGAGTCGTTCTGGAACGATCCAACTCACCAAGGTAGGCACAGCAGGCGCCGGGCCCACGGGCGAAGGCAGCGACTCCGCTCGGTGCTCCCGCTGGCTCATGTCTTGCTTCCAGTCCCTCGCCTCTCGCAACTTCAAGCTAGCTCGTTTCTTAAGCCGTTCTAGAACGATCCAACTCACCAAGGTAGGCACAGCGGGCGCCGGGCCGACGGGCGAAGGCAGCGATTCCGCCCGGTGCTCCCGCTGGCTCATGTCTTGCTTCCAGTCCCTTGCCTCTCGCAACTTCAAGCTGGCTCGTTTCTTGAGCCGTTCTAGAACAATACAACAGCTCTTGTTACTGTCGTGAGGATTCCAACAACTGAGAACAACACAGGACTAACAGCTTACCCCCAAAGCACAGGATCATACTTTTGTACGAACATTCAGGTCGATTCAATACCTGCGATGTCTTATCCAAACTTGACATAATTACAGAAAGTAAATTCCAGCAAATAACACACCGAGGTTTCTTAAAATCACAATTCTAAATACATAGTGCCATATGTACGCGAATTACAGAAGAAGAAATTTAACTGTACATACGCCACGTTTTATTTTTCGATTGTGCTCAGTCGAACAACACGACTTTCACTCTTCAATGAAATAGTAATACAAACGTCAATGTTTATTGGACCGACATTCTATTAAAAACTTCCTAATTGGCCCTTATCGTAAACAGGAATTATTTATTACAAAAATCGATAGACACAAACAGAGGTAAGGAAATTGAAAACATCACTGACGGAGTTTGTTAGGGAAGTAACTAAATGGTAATTAGGAAATTATTACTTTTAGGCCGCAGCCTCGAGTTTAGCGGGGCGGGAGCGGCGGCGGCGCGGGAGCGGCAGGATCTTATGCGTAAAATCAAATAGACCGGTTCTCGAAAACAGCGGCGCGGGAGCGGGCAACGAGCGGGCAGCGCACTCCTTCTTTTGCCCACAATAAATCGAGCGTTAGGAATAAATTTGAATCGAAATAAAATTGTCGCCGTTGTTCAGACATTTCGTTTGCGAATAAAAACAAATATCTCGACAACACAACCCCGAACACAACACTTCGCCGCTAAAGCGCCGCGCGAGCTGCCCGCTTGTTTCGAGAACGGGTCTGCGTTGCCCGCCCCGCTCCAGCGCCGCCGCCGCTCCCGCCCCGCTGCCCGCTAAACTCGAGGCTGAGGCCTTATACTTCCTTTACTACAGTGCTAGCGCTATAACATAGGTCTAGCGGTTATAACTGAGTGAGTGCCTGAGGTATGGGACCGGCACGAGAGGATGTTTTTGTGACGGTCAAACGTCAGCGAGACTTCAGATCTCCTTCATATTTGCTATCACATCATAATACACTGGTCATCATAAAAATCGACCCACCCGCGACAAGCACTTTCAAACGTATGCATCCCCACTTCCCACCAATATTAATATACTATATTACCATTTAAAAGCCTAGTTCTTAACTTCATTTCATTAAAGGAAAGGTTTTTACCCCAAAAATGTGTCTGTAGAAGAATCCAGAGTCACTTCTTCAAAAAATAGGTAGTTAGGTTATAAACAATAATACTGTAAAGTTACATCAAAATCCGTCCAGTAGTGATCGCGTGAAAGAGCAACAAACATCCAGACATCCAAACTTTCGCATTTATAATATTAGTTGGATAATAGTGTCAACCACTCAACAAAATACTACTTCCTTCTCGTGTATTTGTTTGCAAACTATTACTATAATAACGTACTAAATATAAATAAGTATACGTGGATATCTGTTATTGTCTTTCTTGCATAGTATTAAGAGTTACATTTTTCTATCATAACGAAATAAACGCAACACATGACAAGACAACCCTAGCGCGACGGCCGAGCGTGCGAGCGAGAGAGGTATGCAAAGCGAGGTACATACATGAGTTTACCTTCTGTTATATTTTGTGGTTAAGCTCTGTAACCTATAATAATAATTTCGGTCTGTTCTGGCCAGAAGGTGGTGAAGCCTGATGGACACCCACCCAGGGTAAGAGTGGGGTCGTCTATTCTACTCTACCAGTCCACCCCACGGTTTCCATATTGTTTCTTTTAATAATCTATTTATTGTTCACAAACCTGGCACCACCGGCGCCGACTCGGACTTCAAGATGCTGTCGGAGCCGGTTCTCTTCACTCGGACCGCCTGCTTCTGCACAAACTGATCGGTGTTCCTGAAGACAAATACCAAGATTTATTTATTAATGTTTACAAAAAAGACAACCAACATTTTAACCCCCCGGCAGAAGGAAGAAGCATGACGCGTGTATCAATCAATGCCATGGTCAATCAATTTAGATTCGTTCGTTCGTTTCAGCCGAAAGACGTCCACTGGTGGACAAAGGCCTCCCCCAAGGATTTCCACAAAGACCGGTCCTGCGCCGCTCGCATCCAGGCACCTCCCGCGACTTTCACCCATCAATTTAGATTAATTATGGAAAACGATGGAAATCAACAAGATCTGACTACCAGAAATTGTTACACAAACCACATTAAAATATTTTGTAAGAATTTTTAACCATCTCAAACTAAAGTCAAGTTCATACATTCAACGCGTGAAAAAATAAATAATCACGCCTATTATTTATTTTTTATTTACTTTGTTTCACACATTTTTTGCTCTAGTGTCGTGTTACGGCATATAGATTGTGAAGCCGTAACGCATTTGCTATTGTGCCTTGATATCATCATTCAGCCGATACAACTAGCTAGACGATGACTAAGCCATTTTTACAACTTGGCTATAATACACGTACCCGTTCATCAACTAAACACTTACCAAATTTTCTTAATTGACTTTAAACCTTCGCCCAAGGGCATAAAAGTCAAAATTCGTCATTTTGAAATAGGATAAGCAGCTGCCGACGCTCTATACAATGGTTTGGCAAATTTAAAAATACATTAAATGGGCGGACATGCTGTATCCGGTATTCTGTTCGGTTTCTATGAGTTTTTTCAGCACTAGCAGGTTGTCTCTAAGCAGTTTATTTTGATTCGATAAATTGCAAGTAATTGTAATAGGCGACAGAAGTTTAATAATATAACTGAACCGAAATAGTGACCTATAAGCATTCCTCGCAAAGTAATCATCGAAATAAGTGACCTAAAGCATTCCTCGCAAAGTAGTCAATGTGTTGCCGAATTTATCCCAACGTTTGCGAAAATTTTATTAAATCTAGAGATGTAGGTTAGTCCCTTAACTGAACGCAGTCAGATATTATGTAAAATTATAGGTAATCTTGAAGGGAAAACGAGGTTTTTGCGCATGATTTTGCATTCATTCTCACATGAAAACCAAAAATATGCACATAATGATGATCAAAATTAGCATGTTTATTGGCAAATCAAAGTAATTACAATGTGATTATACTACACTTTAGCATAACTAACCCGTGATAAGCCTGGCTCATTCAAATTCAAACGAGTCGCTGATAACGGGCGTACACAAACACAAGTGTCTGTTATCACTGCAGAGATAATGCCACGCCAACGACGCCTTAATCGCTCGGTAACAGGGGCGGTAATCCTCTGCACGATTACGGCAACAAAATATATGTAGTTATTTAAGTTATTAACATACTAGGAAGTTGAGATAATTGACACTACAATATCAAGGTGTAATGGCTATTGCGGATAATGAGAGATCCTTGCGGTTGATTTACAAGTTTAATTTTTTATTTTTTTATGCATAAAGAGGCAGGTATTTGACCACAATCGCACCTGATGTTAAGTGGGATGCAGTCTATGGTACATATCTGCCCTACAAGTGCCTATTCACTCTCGCCTTGAAAATGACCGGATTATAGTCTTCGGGAAAGACAGCAGCAGACATCGATTGAATCCTTGATCACGGAGTAAAGCAACTTCTTTTCAGCGACTTATGTAGATGATGAGTTACCATCTATCTTTTATAAACAAAAATTATATGTTCACCGTTAGTCAGTTTGCAGACCTGTGACTAAGACTGCAGGTAACCCGGTCTAAATGCCAGGCTAACAAAAGGTAAGATACCTGGACCCAGAACGCTTGCTTAATTGTTTGCTGTTTTAGGGATTTTATATGTCCCAAAAATTTATCTAAGCTTGCACTACCATAACCTCACCTTCAGTACGATACTTATATTGGATGGCAACTAAAAGTGTCGCAAGAAAAATAAAATTATCATCATCAATTTAAAATGCCTATTTAAAGTAAGTGTGAGTAGGCAAGGTAAAGTTCAATCACGTTTGTCTTTGACTTTTTTGTCACCTTTTCTTACTTAATATTATGTAATTTGAAGTTATGATCAGGCGGTTATATGAGTTTAAACTATCGTAAATTATCTGATTTTAATACCAATTTCTTCATTATCTTCCAAAATCAATTCAATTAACTCACTCAATTTAAAGTAACTGACTCGGTGAACGACCAACGTCGTACCGCCTACGTTTTCAGTAATAATATACGATTCTAATAGTGAAAGAATTTTTAAATCAACCCAGTAGTTTCGGAGCCCATTGAATACAAACAGACAATCAAATCTTTTCTTATTAAAATATTAGTGTAGATGACAATTCGAAATTGTAGAACTCTAACGTTAAGCCGAGGTCGTCGGCCATGTTTAGGAATATAGATGTTAGCGACCTAACCTTGAACAAGCCTGTGATGACTGCAAATACGCAAGCTAATATTTGAATTCTCCAGTTTAACGACATGTGATATTTTTGCTACTGGTTGAATAAATAACTCACGATTTTATCAAACTCAGGAAAATCTCGCTAAGATTATATCTTGCATTCTTGGTGTATTTGCAGAACTAGCTTCTATCGCGGCTTTTCCCGCGTGGAAATTAGCCATCTGCAGAGTTTCTAACAACGTCTCACGTTTTTCTTTCTACGTGAGAAATGGTAAGTTACCCATTGAAACTTACATTTTCTACTTATGTACAAGTACCTCCTTCAAGTTTACCACAAGGACAGAATTACATTCTCATCTACACTTAACATTATAAAGAGGAGGGATTTGATTGTTTCTGGAGGCTCCGAAACTACTGGACCGATTTGAAATATTCTTTCACCATTAGAATCCTTAACCTTATCATAAAATATTTTTTATACTCCGCCATTTTCCGAATGTTACACCTCATGTCACACATTAATTGATTGGACTATACGAAGTCCGCGGGCCAGCTAGTTTATAATATTATTAGGGTCAAGCATAGTATTCACTACGATACAAACGTTCCTCGACACGTGACGGNACTCCTTCTTTTGCCCACAATAAATCGAGCGTTAGGAATAAATTTGAATCGAAATAAAATTGTCGCCGTTGTTCAGACATTTCGTTTGCGAATAAAAACAAATATCTCGACAACACAACCCCGAACACAACACTTCGCCGCTAAAGCGCCGCGCGAGCTGCCCGCTTGTTTCGAGAACGGGTCTGCGTTGCCCGCCCCGCTCCAGCGCCGCCGCCGCTCCCGCCCCGCTGCCCGCTAAACTCGAGGCTGAGGCCTTATACTTCCTTTACTACAGTGCTAGCGCTATAACATAGGTCTAGCGGTTATAACTGAGTGAGTGCCTGAGGTATGGGACCGGCACGAGAGGATGTTTTTGTGACGGTCAAACGTCAGCGAGACTTCAGATCTCCTTCATATTTGCTATCACATCATAATACACTGGTCATCATAAAAATCGACCCACCCGCGACAAGCACTTTCAAACGTATGCATCCCCACTTCCCACCAATATTAATATACTATATTACCATTTAAAAGCCTAGTTCTTAACTTCATTTCATTAAAGGAAAGGTTTTTACCCCAAAAATGTGTCTGTAGAAGAATCCAGAGTCACTTCTTCAAAAAATAGGTAGTTACGCTTGAGCCAACTTTTATGGCTATAAAACTGTTAAGTTGGGATTAATCGCTATCCATCTGTTAAAGAGGACACGTGAGATCATTATTTGGTTTTATAACCATAAAAATTGGTCTAATTGATCCCAGAGGTGAGCCCAAAGTGAGGTCTTTTTTCAAGTTTTTCAAGTCACATTTATTGTATACGTTAATCATTTATTAGGAAATTCAATGTGTTTTTCTTTAAGGATATTTATTGGGCTTTCAAATAACACCAATGTTGTTGGGGCACCATGATTGTGTCAGTAGAAACGAGTTTTTCTGTAAGACGTAGGTGGGTCGATTTTTGTGATGACCAGTGTGTGTCAATGTTAACCCTCCCGTGCCGCTCCCATACCTCAGGCAATGACTGAGTTAAGCCACAAAATATAACAGAAGACAAACTCCATACTAAACGCGCTCGAGCCACGCACACATAGACAGACACCGCTCGAGCAAGACTTGCAANAAATGTTACTTGGGCGGGTGTCACGTCAGACGTCGCCAGACATTTTACTTGTCTCGCAAAATGTTGACTTTCCTATTCCTCGTAGGTACTAAATAATATTGTAAATGCGGAAGTTAGTTAGTAGCAGTAGGTAGAAGTTTGTTAGCAACTAGGTTCGCTCATTCGTTACTTTCGGCCAAATGACGTCCACTTATGGACAAAGGCCTCCCGCAAGGTACTTAACTTACTAACAACTAGGTACTTCACTCAAAAATATTAGATGGAACTTTATAATGTTGTGCTACTATCAATGCAACAGATCGTAATATTCACAATGCATAACACACAGACAAGTCTACGCAATGACTCATTAATGAATTCACTTTAATGGGACTTCCCATTAACATTTTACGACAGTAATTTCAATTAATATAACATTTTCTAACATTGAACATGTACTTACGAACATGTCGGCTCATGAATGTATAATATAATCAAGCAAACATTACTATGGTGGTTAGTTTAATCTTATCAGTAAATCTGACATAAAACTGTCTGCCATTTGTGTCTGTTTGAGTAGGTAATGACCAGCCCGGTTGAAGGACGTATAGAATATTACTGAAGCTATTATGTTCTACAATAAAATGTTACTCGTTTACTATCAAAATATGTGGCAAATCATAGCTCCTAACAATAAAAACAAAAAACTGTTTAATTAGTATCTATAACGTAAACAAAAAACCAATAACAAACATGGCCACTGCACAGTTTTGTACAAAATAATAACAATAATCTACTTCCTTCATTGTTATTCAATCTCAACTGTTTGGATCTGACATAATTCTGTCTGACATAGCATCATGCTTTGACCATTCGATTAACCAAAATCCCCTAGGTTTTCTCAACACCGGTTCCACTCTCGATTTCTTATCAGAGGTTAAACAAGAGCTTAATGCAGTGCATGTTGGTTTATAATCGCACTCAAGGGGTCTATAAATAGCTACGCCATTACTTTTCAAGGCCTTCAAGTGACGAATTAAAAAGATTACTTTTTGGGCAAGATCGCCATCACAGATCGCATCACACCTTTTGGGTGAGAATTTTATCAAGGGTACAAAAATATTATGAAGGTCACCTCTACCTCTGAGTTAAAATTTCTGAGAGTTATTAATTTTTTCATGCATTGACCCAATAAAGGTTTGGCCAAACCTATGCGCGCAACCCGCGTGCACGATTGCGAAGGCGATGGCGATCATACTGATTTCTACTGATCGCCATTAAGTCTTCAAGCCTAAGCCAACCGCCTCTGTGGTCTAGTGGTAAGACCACCTGCTTCAGACGCAGAGGTCCCGGGTTCGATTCCCAGTGGGGGCAGATTTTTCTGTTCGGTTTGGTTGGTGGTAGGGCTTGTTCCAAGTCCGCCTGGCTAGCTACCACCATCTTACCTAAGTCTGTCGCCATAACAACAATGTTAACAGCATTGTTATGTTCCGGCAGTTAGAGGTAAGATAGCCAGTTCCTCCGTGGTAGAGGATTTCGGGTGAAGCTCGCTTCCACCTTGGGCCTGATCATCACTTACCATCAGGTGAGATACAGGCCAAGAGCTTCCTCGTTGTGGATAAAAAAAAGCCCAACCCAAGCAGGTAATCGGCAATGGTTCGGCAGTTCACTTTGAACTAATTGACAAAAGTTAACTACGACTTCGAGCTCGAGCTCACCTCTTGATCTCCTTGCTCCTGATCCTGGAGCGCGGAGGAGTGGTCCCGAGCAGGTCGGCCTCGGAGCCGTCTCCTCCGTCGGCCAGCAGGAAGCTGGAGGAGAGCCGCGGGTTCCTGATGACCACGTCATTTTGGTCTCTGGAACAATCACATTTTTACTTTAAGAACTGGCTTTTTTTGAATGAAATGTGAATTTAATAAATGGTAGGATTCTTGCATATTTAAAGAAAGTTACGCGGAAACAGCTGAATCTTTTTTGATAGAGAAAAGATAAAACAGGCTCGCTCTTGTCGCGAAAGTATCTAGACACGCGACGAAGACTTTGATGGCTATAGGGATTACGAATTAAGTTACTTCTTCTTTCTATCTTTACCAAATGAGGATGCATTGGCACAGGAAAAGGGCTTATTGCAGCCTTCAGTACGCTTGTTTTGATGCATGTAATCAACATTGTTGGCGTGATCGTAAACGCGTATTTAATTAGTTGCTCTACTGGTCCTGTATGATCTTCAACCGGTTTCTCTCGATTTTGACTCGGCCAATAATATTTAATAATTTTACTATAGAAACGAGGAAAACAGTTCAATAACCTAGATACCTACTTTCAAAAACTACAGCTAGAATGATGACGTTAACATAGGGCTTTTTTAAACGTACTACAAATGTAGAAACTATATTATTGATGTCGAAACAATCGGCTTCAAAAAATTGCATTTTTTGAATAAATATTTAATTACTGTTGAAACCCTTTAGGGACTTTCGGAGTAATCTAGGCTTATCCAAGATATAAGACAGTAACTATTAACAACCATAAGATAGTGTTTAGTGGTAATCTTAGAAATAATGATGAAATTATGAGAAAATAGTAAGAATCGTATTCTGAAAGTCAACAATGAGTTGCCTCAATCTTGTTTAACAAGACATACACAAGGTCAGTCAATGGCTTTATGTTATTTTTGGGTTTTTCGTCGACAGGAGTACGCCCACTGGTTATCATAAAGAATTATGGATTTTCCAATACAAAATATTTGAAGAAAATACGGAGAAATAGGAATCAGACGAAAGAATTTAGCATATCTAGATCACAATCAGGCTTAATACATCATTCTGAATTTTTTGATTGAGTAAGCCTGATTAAAATAAAATCGGAAATCAATGACTTGTCCACCTGCCATTCCTCAGAAGATTCCCCGACCTACCGGATCTGATAAGTGATGATAACGCAACCAAACTCAATGACTCATTGAAAAGCATTTCGCGAGCATCTGAATTGCAAATACCTATCAAAGCTACTGTGTACGTGCCGAAATGGAAAAACTAACACTGTTCCTAAAATGTGGAGTCTCACGTTTATGTAGTGATTTTTGTGGTTGAGTGAATACACCTATTGTAGTTTCAACTTCACTCGCGGGAATTTCGTTCTGGTGTAAATAAATATCTGAAACTCAGAAGAATACATCGATCGATCATCGAGTATCAAAACTCTTATTTTGAAGATGCCGATGTTCCTCACAAGTTTCTTTCAAGTGATAAAAGGCATGGGTCAGTCTAACTCATAAGAAACTTCAAAATACAAATACCTCATAAGAAACTTCAAAATACAAGACAAATAGTCGGCCGTTTGGTGTAGTGGTTCAGAACGGACTACTATGCCGAGAGGTCCCGGGTTCGATTCCCGGCCGGGCAGAAATTGAAATGATGAATTTTAATTTCTGTGACGGGTCTGGGTGTGACTATGTATAATATTTATGTATTTAAAAAAAAAGTATATAAGTAGTATATCCGTTAAGCTTAGCACCCATAACACAAGCATTAAGTTGCTTACTTTGGGGCTAGCTGGCGCTGTGTGAAATTGTCCAAAGATTTATTATTTATTTATTTATTTTTACCTACCTATGTAAGAAGAAATTCGTCATGTTGATAGAAATTCCTACAACTATTTATAATTACTTTCACAAACGCAATACAATAGGATTTTTCTAGCATTTACAAACGTGTCTTGAAAGTGTGAACTTGGGTTACCTGGTCACAGAAGTTATTTAAATTTTAGGGCGTGAGTAACACGTGATGAGAATTTTAAAAAGCATCTCAAGCCGTCCGTCAGAATGACTCTATAATCTACTTTACTGTTTTTTTTATCCACAACGAGGAAGGTCTTGGCCTGTATCTCACCTGATGGTAAGTGATGATCAGGCCGAAGGTGGAAGCGAGCTTCACCTGGAATCCTCAACCGCGGAGGAACTGGCTATCTTACCTCTAACTGCCGGAACACAGCAATGCTGTTAACATTGTTGTTATGGCGACAGACTTAGGTAAGATGGTGGTAGCTAGCCAGGTGGACTTAGAACAAGCCCTACCACCAACCAAACCAAACAGAAAAATCTGCCCCAACTGGGAATCGAACCCGGGACCTCTGCGTCTGAAGCAGCTGGTGGTCTTACCACTAGACCACAGAGGCAGTTAAGGAGGTTGTACATTATCCTAAATCTTGATTACAATTAACCAAATGATGTTTCTGATGAAGTGAGCTTATCAAGAAGTATCATCTTTGGTTGCAGTGAAGTGAATTTCATAAATTAGAATTCCTGCAAGTTTTAGGACTGTTCCTTAAGAAAATTCGCTAAATTTCGAGTAAACACAGCAACGCGAATAGTGAACAACGACATCACAACATAAAATAAGCTACACCAACATGAAAAGTTCTGGATCTGTGAAAAATTATGAGAAAATGTCGCCGCAATGAAAGAAGCTTTACTATTCAGTTCCAGCTGGGTTCCAGCTAATGGTCTCGGTTCCCTATATCAGTATCTTGGTCTCGACAGAACGACTCCACAGATCTTTCATATGGGCATATGGTATGACTCGTCATTTCACACCGGCGCGCGACGACGTGTTTACTGACGATCGCACATTTTCAGAAATGCCGAAGTAAAATGCATAGTCATTTCAGTATTCTCAATTTATCATAGTTGCTAATCAGCTGATGGTTCAACAGTCCAAATGCGACGTGGCTTTTCTTCGATGCGACTAATTCGTGACCCGACCGTGAACTCTAAGCGTATAATATTTTTATCAGCTATCTTGTGTGACCTGTTGAGTCACCGATTGAGGCATAAATGTACACATTGAGACATACTTTGGCTCTAATAACATTAGGGATTTAAAAAAAAAAGCAATCAAATATTTATAAAAGCGATTGACTGACTCACTCATGTTACATTACGAAATCTCAGAAACTACAAGTGCTAGGAGTCTCAAATTATGCATGGGGGTTCCTTTTAGGACGTAGGTCCTCACTAAGAACGGATTTTACGAAACTTCACACCTAAGGGGGGTAAAACGGGATCCATGCGTACGAAGTCACGGGCGGCCGCTAGTTTACTAATATATTTCTTCTGATAGAATTAGCTCAAATCATATTACATTTTCAGGTTTTGTTAAAATATTAGAAGTTTCTATAAAGTTCAATGTAATAAAAAATTAATTTAAACCTAAACATTTTCATGTGTTTAATGTGTAGGTTACCACAGTTTTTTTTTACACTTATTAGTTCTCTTCTAGATATCATACTGCAAAACTATGTCAATCATAATACAATGAATTGTGAATTGTGTTGCCAAAAAATAAACACAATCCTAAATATTTGAGTAGTCCACTTGCAAACTCTACTGTGTTAACAATTATTAAGTATGTTACAACAACACAAAATTTTCAAATTCGCAATATTATCGTCAGCGGAATTAACTGGTGGACAATTAAAAGATATTGTTTTGAGTTTTCAATAACTCAATCTATAAATTATATTACTTTCTGCTCTTAAATTGTTGTTTGTAAATAATTATAATAACAAAACCCTTGGAGTATTGGTACCGCGATTATCAGAGAGCACTCATGGAAATGTAGCGTATAATGACTAGACACCGTGATTACAATGCTGCCTTATCAGATACGGTTTAATGCATTCATTGAGTGCTAAATTTCAATATTGGATACTAAGGAATTTACACTAAATAAATGCTTTTAATGGCAAAAGGGCAAATACTTAAGACAGAGTGAGAAATAATATTCAAGACGTAAATAAAATAAAATAAAAAATATTAAATCAATTTTGACCAGTATTTTGGCGCTTAAGAACATCAAAAATTAAAAAAGGTAGCCCATTACATGTCTCCTTATCTTTTGCGCCCTACCAGCGTTTCGAGACAAACCTAAGCCATATAGTAGGAAAATATCCAAGCATCAATAAAAACTTTTAATGGCAAAGCCACAGTCATTAAGATATTGTTTACAAACTTGTTAGGGCATTTCTCCACTAAATGGAAAATCGCTGTCCCAAGCTAAATTTGTGTAGTAAACCTTAAAATTTCTCAGGTTTTTGTATCAATACCGACATAGAATTAGGTATTCTTAGCATGACATAGCATATTTAGTAATTTAATCATGGAATATTCGAATAAATAACCTCAAACGTCTCAAATCACAGTCCCCTGGTACGTCCCTTTTCCAGAATTACACATATTGTTACAAATGTTTATTATATTGCTGTTGATATTTGAATAAAAAATATCCAAATACATTAACAATAACAGTTAGCATCTTAATTCATCACAAACAATGTTTACAATATAATTTTAATCAAAATATCCTTCTGAGAATGCTGTCTTCAAATTATTAAAACATTCCCCTGTNACGCTGCGTTTTACGGTACACAAGGTGGACCGACGACATTATAAAAGTAGTAGGAAGGCGCTGGACGCAGGCCGCTACGAATCGATCAACATGGAAGTCTTTGAGGGAGGCCTATGTTCAGCAGTGGACGTCCTATGGCTGAATTGATGATGATGATAATGAAGTTTATTACTTTTTGTATTTTTTTGGTTCTGTTTTAAAAGGCAGGATACTACATTTTTGATTATTATAAAGACTGACTTTAGTGTCATACAATTTAAGTCTTAACACTTAATTGCTCGTTAAGTTTAATGCTACTGTTATTAGGCTTAAGAAAAGTCATTATAAATTAGTAATATTTGTTTTAATAATAATATTTTTTGTTTCAAAAACTTACATATTTTTATAATGGCAAAGAAAAATAAAGAGTTTGTTTACTCAAAGAAAAATACTAATTGTTTTTTGTCCATAACACATTCCCCTGGGTGGTTGCAACAGTCCCCTGTCGCAATTTTGCGAAAAATCGCCAATAACTCAAAAACTAAGAAGAAAATGTGTGGGCTTTTTTGAGATATGTATTTAAATTGCTATTGCCCTGAATTTCGTTAACAAAATTTCTCAACATTTAATAAAATTACTTCAGGACAGCCTTGTATGGACGATTTTCCAAATAGCAGAGAAACACCCGTTAATTAACTGTTTAATGAATTCTAATGGTGCTTCTAACTTATCTAGGTTATTGATTAAGAACTACCTACTTAAAAGTTTGGTGTTGTTGTACTTAAGTGTTTAACTACGTGATTGTAAATGAAATGTCGGACAATGTAAATCCAGTTCTTAGCCAACGGCTAAGTTATCGGCTAGTTCTTTCTTGTTTGTAACAAGATGCTAGGTGTCATAAAAGAAGATGCTAGGGTTAGAAATGGCAATAATCATCTTGTCTTCAGTAATAATAATTATTATTTTCTACAATATAGTAAACAACACTAAAACATTTTGGAAGTATTTTGTGACTTATTTTTATTGAATTACACTAAAATAAAAAAATATGTCTCTCGCTTCAGATTAGAATTGGATCTACAGAGGAAATCATTTAATTTCCAAAAATGTGATTGAATTCTAAATATCGATTGTGCAATGAGGGTCAAACCCGTACGTTTGAAAACACAACATAACCAACATCCTCCTACAAGTGACCTAACATTTTTTCCAAAGATAACAACTTGCACACATAATTTTTTAACGTGACGCAGTTCCTCCAAGCTAGGCAAACAAAGACGCAGTGCTCGTGTAGATGTATTTGCTTACAAGTCATCATCCGAATCGTGGCCGGAATCTGGTTTATAAGGAAGGTTGATGCTCCGGTAGTTCTCATCAGCAATCGAATCCATTATCACAGAAATCCGATGTAAATTCCCGCTTCAGAATGATCACATGACACGGCAGCGTATCACACACCGAACCTCAAAACCTCCCACAAACACCGTAAAACTGTATTCCAGGAGCTGGATCAGTAAAACACTCATTTTAGGCACACAAAATAACCATTTTGGTGAGAATCTAAACTTTTTACGTAGCACACAGAAACCGGCAATGAGCGAATGAAATGAATGAAACTATAATGAAAGACCTATCTACTATGACAGCTGTCATTTATTATGAAAGTAGTGCTGTACAAAAACATCATTAATTTGTCGATTATGATTTATTATATCTTATAAATAAAAAAAATCTGTTTTTAACTTTTGACTGCTTCTATTTATCAGTATCTTCTTCTATTTTTCAGTTCTAAAATCAGCTCTAAATAAATATTTAGAGCTGATTTTAGAACTGAAAAATAAGTTTGGCACATTGAAAGTTTCAGTATGGGAAATAATATATTAAAATGACAAGTTTATTCTTCAGTTTCAATTATTTGTAGTTAGATTTGACTTAAAATATAAAAATCGCGTTAATTTACTTAAAGAATTAAGTACATAACATTTAAGAGATTGGTAAGATAATGTGAAAAATGTCTGTCTCGCTCACGCCTCGACCACGCTTCCAGTGTTATTATTAGGGGGCGTCCATTAATTACGTAAGACATTTAGGGGGGGGAGGGGGTCAAGAAAAACCTCACTAAATCTCACGTAGGGGAGAGGGGGGATCTTGACAAATATCACGTAATTTTTTTCAGCAAGAAAAGTCAAATTGCGAAAAAACTGGATTATTTTAAATCAAAAATAATATTTTAATATTAAAAAATATTTAAATTAAATCCTAATCGAACCATTTACATTGAAAAAATATATTTTAAGAAATCTCACGTGAGATTGTGGGGAGGGGAGGGGGTCTGGAAAAATCTCACCAAATCTCACCAAGGGGAGCGGGAGGGTTGAAAAATTGCCAAAATTGTCTCACGTAATTAATGGACGCCCCCTTACTTACTTAGCTAACTTAGACCATTTTAATGCAACATTTCAAGTAATTTTGAGTTCTAATAAGTGTTACATTATCTTACGTAAATAGTGCTAGCGACGCGTGTGTCCATAAATTGCCAATTTTGGGAGAAAATTTTAAGTAACTTTATTTAACTTTTTTTTTGCATTAATAGGATCACTATCAACAACTCATTACCCAGAATTTTTTTTTTCGGTGTTAAAATTTTAGTGGTGTATGTTGTATATCTAATTAAGCTAAAGCTACTAAGTAACTTTCAAAGTAATCTATCGTAAAGTAGTTTTTAGCTTAGATCAGACGTTTCAAGATGATTCCAGACATAATAATAACTATAGCCTGACCAGGAACATAAAAACCCTGGCATAGAGGCGCGTCAATTGCATTTGATAGTGCAACACTGAGTACAGTCGTACCTGTGTTAAATTAATAGGCTAACTTTATGTATCAGGATTCAGGATTACGAGCTAATTTGATATTTTCATAAATTAACGAAAAAATATTATTATAGGTAACCTGGTTTAAATAAATTAAATGAAACCATCAATCGAGCTAGTGGGATTTATTTTATTATTCATCAATAATCAAATTCAGAACTTGAATATTCAACTGCAATGTCTGCTCATGAACGCTTAAAACTCGGTACTTCTTTCCCAATTCCATAAAATTCAACACTTAGAAAGTGACAAAAATTTTTAAAATAGGTAGTTGAAACAAACCACAGCTAATTTTCATAGTGGACTGTACTATACGATAAACATGTCAGTCAATTTGACAACCTTTGTCGGAAACATTATTCAATGAAAATATTGTCCAAACCTTA